GAAGGCATAAGTGAAATTTTGGGACAATTACTGTCAAATGATAATTTGCAATTAAAGGTAAAATGAGTTAAGACATCACACATGGTGGGCAACACATGAGTGATTGATCAACCACTGATCAATTATATGCAACTTGAGTATTGATCAGCAATGGAGAAGACGTTTTGGTGGATTGTAAATGAATGTGAGAGTTAAGCTCTCATACCAAACTCTACCCATTAGTGATATAAATAGCATAGGGTAATGTGTCTGCAATAATCAGAGGAGTTTCATTATTCATTCTTCCCACTTGTATTTGATTTCTAGTCTTTCTTTATGCGCGCGCGCACACACACACATATATGTAACCTGCATGGGCAAAAGAAGGAGTGTCAGAGAAGCATAAAAAAAAAAAAAGGAAACCAAGTCCTCTGGTCGTGTATGTGTTTGTAATAGCAAGAGTCAAAAAACTTAAGGCTTTGTTGGGTTGAGTGTGTTTTTCTAAATTGAGTCATTAAACACCAAATGTTTCCTTTGTCTTGATCCAAAATTACCATTACTTCCGCAAATAACCAACAAATTTGGTATCCGAGCTAATACCCTTTTTTTCCTCTCAAAATCCCCAAATTCTAGCCTACACAACTTTCTCAAAAATCCATGGCAACAACTTCCTCAAACACCATGTTTGCTACCTCTTCTAATCAAATTCCCATTTTCGATGGAGAATTGTACGAGTACTGGAGTGCCCAAATGGAATCAATTTTCATCTCTCAAGATATGTGGGATATCGTCCAAGAAGGATATGAAGATCCACAAGACGAGGATGAAGACTCGAAGAAACGAGCAGGCAAGCAGATAAAGGAGTACAAGGAGAATGCCAAGCAAAATGCCAGTGCCTTGAGAATAATTCAGCAAGCAGTGAGCAAATCGATTTACCCGAGAATCTATGGCATAAAAAAGGCCAAAGAAACTTGGGATGTCTTGCGTGAAGAATTTCAAGGTTCTGAAAAATGCAATCTCTATCAGGCGCCAAAGTTTATGGCGACAGTTCGACAACTTGATGATGAAGGAAACCGACACCATCAAAGACTTCCAGTCGCATGTGGCGGAGACAGTCAACCAGATCAAAGCCACCGGTGATGTCATGGAAGAAAGAAAAATTGTGGAGAGAATTCTCCGTAGTTTATCATCAAAGTTCGAGCATATTGCCACCGGTGATGTCATGGAAGAAAGAAAAATTGTGGAGAGAATTCTCCGCAGTTTATCATCAAAGTTCGAGCATATTGTTCTTGTTATTGAAGAAACCAAAGATCTGGCAAATCTACCAATGAGCGAGTTGATGGGCTAACTTGTAGCACACGAGCAATGAATGAGCCGCTTCACCAAACCGCCATTGGAGCAAGCTTTCTCGTCAAAGGTCAACATGGCGGAAAGTAAATATGCCAAATCGGAGCAAGGCTAGAGAGGGGGAAACTCACAAGGGAGAGGAAGAGGAAGATCCAATTACAGAGGAAACAACAGACAAAATTATCAACAACAAAGATCGGGCTACACCGGCTCGAGTTGCATAATTTGCAAAAAGGCGGGTCATGCAACAAAAGACTGCAGATTCAAGTGCACCAAGTGCAGAATTCAGAACCACTCCCAGAGAGATTGCTGGTTCCAGAACAAGCAAGAAGATAGCAAGTCAAGCGGCACCAAAAATGAAGAAAGCAATATGGTGGCCTTGTCATGCTTGTTTGGTGAGTAAAAATCACAGCTTCCCTAGATGGTGGATAGTGGTTGCAGTAACCACATGACTGGAGATCTGGATTCCTTCACCGACATCGATGACCAATACCGCTCTCAAGTCAAGTTGGGAGACGGAAAGAAGTTAAAAGTGGAAGGAAAAGGCACAGTTGTTGTATGCACAGAAGAAAGCAACAAAACTCTCATTCGAGATGTTTTGTATGTTCCGGAGGTAACTCTCAATCTACAGAGCGTGGGACAACTGATGCTGAAAAATTACAAGCTATTGTTTAATAATGGCGTGTGCGAGATTATCAACAAAGCTGTCAATTTCATGGTGGCCAAAGTCCCGATGACTTCCAACCGAATTTTCTCTCTTGCTATGTCACAAAATGGCGAAGTAGCATTCAAGAGCGAAAATCTGGATCAATCCTTCCTATGGCATCTCAGATATGGTCATCTCAACTTCAAAGGTCTCAAATTGTTGAGACAGAAAAATAAGGTGGCGGGACTTCCCCAGATCAACAGAGAAGACAAAATTTGTGAAGGGTGCATATATGAAAAAATGCATCGTTTACCATTTCCAAAGACATCTTGGAGAGCAAAAGCGCCACTGGAGTTGGTACATGCAGACATATGCGGTCCAACCCGAACACAATCACTCAGCGTCAAAAGATATTTTCTACTATTTGTAGATGACTTCACCAGAATGATGTGGGTATTCTTTCTGGAGCAAAAGTCAGAAGCTTTTCCCAAGTTCCTTCAATTCCAAGCAGTAGCTGAGAAGGAAAGCGGCCATCAAATCAAAACTCTCCGTACAGATCGTGGAGGAGAATCTATTTATACTCTGTTCATGGAGTATTGCCGCAACAACGGAATCAAAAGGCAGCTGACGGTCCGTTACGCACCACAACAAAATGGCGTGGCAGAACGGAAAAACCGCACGATTGTGGAGATGGCGAGAAGTATGCTCAAATCTAAGAAGCTTCCCAACAACTTGTGGGCAGAAGCAGTCAACACGACAATTTACATCCTCAACAGATCACCAACCAAAGCAGTTCAGAACAAGACGCCGATACATGCGTGGCACCACCGGAGGCCACAGGTGGATCATCTCAAAGTCTTTGGGTGCATAACTTATGCACATATCTCTACCCCAATCCGAGACAAGTTTGACCAGAAGGGTGAGAAGCTGATTTTCACCGGCTACAGTGATGAATCCAAAGGCTATCGTCTTTACAACCTAGTAAAGAACGAGGTGGTGGTTTCCCGAGATGTGATCTTTGATGAGATGGCGGAGTGGAATTGGGAAAATCCAATTTCTCAATCTCCACCAAGTTATGAAATTCTGGAGGAATCAACAACTCCAGAAGACCCCTACAAAAACCAGACCCAGTTGCATGTCCAGAAAGAAATTATGCACCTAGCCTTGAAGGAGACAACTTCAGAGACGTCGTAACAGACTCGGATTCACCTCCGTTGAGAACAAGGTCTTAGCGAGAAATTTATGAAACAAGTCATGTTGCGTATTTTTCTTGTGAGCCTCAAGTCTTTGAAGAAGCAGCCAAAAATGAAGTTTGTAACGAGGCAATGGATGCATAAATTTCAATGATCGAGAAAAACAAGACATGGGAGCTTGTTGATCAACCGGAGGACAAGCCGGTTATAGGTCTCAAATGGATTTATAAGATCAAATTCAATGAAGATGGTTCTATCCAGAAGTACAAAGCTCGACTGGTGGCAAAGGGCTATTCACAACAGCCCGGTATTGATTTTCACAAGACATATGCACCAGTAGCGAGGATGGAGACCATCCGAACAATTCTCGCTCTAGCTGCTCAACTGGAGTTGCCAGTTACTAGCTAGATGTCAAATGAGCATTTCTGAATGGAGAACTGGAGGAAGAAGTCTATGTGGAACAACCACAAGGCTATGGGAAAAAAGGAGAAGAAGACAAAGTCTATCGTCTCCGAAAGGCTTTATACGGGCTGAAGCAAGCACCGAGAGCCTGGAATAGCAGAATCGATCGATATTTTCAGCAAAATGGATTTGAAAGAAGTCCGAGTGAAGCATCTCTCTACATAAAAAAGGGAGAAGGAAAAGATTTTCTAATGGTTTGTTTATATGTTGATGACTTGATTTACACAGGTACAAGTCAGCATATGATCGAAGAATTCAAAAGTGCCATGATGAAAGAATTCGAGATGACGGACTTGGGACTCATGAAGTATTTTCTTGGGATCCAAGTGAAGCAGTCACCCGGAGAAATATTTATTTCACAGGAGAAGTACACCGAAGATATGCTGACAAGATTTCACATGGCAACGTGCAAACCAATCTCAACACCGATGGCGTTAAAATAGAAATTACAACGCAATGATGGAGCTAAAAAGTCGATGGAAAGCTGTACAGAAGTCTTGTCGGGTCACTCATTTACCTGACACATACCAGGCCGGATATATGTCATTCAGTAAGTCCTATTTCAAGATTTATGAATTAACCTAGCAAAGTTCATTTTGCAGCAGCCAAAAGAATTTTGCGGTATCTTCAAGGTACTAAAAAATTGGGTCTGACGTACAAGAAAGAAGCAGAAAGCAAGATGACCGGATATACCGATAGTGACTGGGTAGGATCACTGGATGATCGAAAAGCACATCGGGGTACATATTCTGCCTGGGTTCAAAGCCCATTTCCTGGAGTTCAAAGAAGCAAAAGACTGTGGCATTATCTTCAGCGGAAGCAGAATATATCGCAGCTACAGATGCAGCATGCGAAGCGGTATGGCTAAAAATATTAATTTTCTGATTTGCAGCAAAATGAAAATGGTCCAACCATTATTCATTGTGACAACATGTCAGCCATAGCCATGACAAAAAAATCCAGTATTTCACGCAAGATCGAAGCATATCGAGTTGCGTCATCATTTCATCCGAAACCTCGTCAACGAAGGATTAATCATGATGGAATTTATCAACACCGATGATCAGCCAGCAGATATCATGACAAAAGCGGTTACCCGTGAGAAGTTCGAGAAGTTCAAGAAGTTACTCCAAATTGCAAATTAAGAGGGGGTGTCAAATGGTAATTTGCAATTAAAGGTAAAATGAGTTAAGACATCACACATGGTGGGCAACACATGAGTGATTGATCAACCACTGATCAATTATATGAAACTTGAGTAATGATCAGCAATGGATAAGACGTTTTGGTGGATTGTAAATGAATGTGGGAGTTAAGCTCTCATATCATATTCTATCCATTAGTGATATAAATAGCATGGGGTAATGTGTCTGCAATAATCAGAGGAGTTTCATTATTGATTCTTCCCACTTGTATTTTTTATTTGATTTCTAGTCTTTCTTTATATATATATATGTATATGTAACCTGCATGGGCAAAAGAAGGAGTGTCAGAGAAACATAAAAAAAAAAGGAAACCAAGTCCTCTGGTCGTGTATGTGTTTGTAATAGCAAGAGTCAAAAAACTTAAGACCTTGTTTGGTTGTGTGTGTTTTTCTAAATTGAGTGATTAAACACCAAATTTTTCCTTTGTCTTGATCCAAAATTACCATTACTTCCGCAAATACCCAACAATTACTTGAACAATTGGGGAACCGATCGAAGTGGCGGCGGCGGCATTAGCTGTTGCAGCGACGACATTTCTGGAGAATCCATGAAGTGAAAATGTGAAGGTATCAGTAACACTAGAAATGGTTTTCTGCATCTTCCGTTCTCTTTCTCTCTCTCTTTTCTCCACTGCTGAAACTTATTACCGGATTAAAAAATGGAATTCTCATTGCGGAGAAAGATAAGTTCTTTTGGTTCTCCCCTCTCTCACTGCATGCCTGAACTGTTTTCTTTTTTTCCATTCCCTTGTATTTCACATACTTCGTCTTCTTTCGTTGTGATTTGATGCCAATAGAACGGTGAACTATAGTCGTTTTGATGTAACATAGCAAGCGTGAGGTAACAATTGTAATTGTCTTCATTTAATTATAAGTGTATAGTTTTGCTTTGTGCCTAAGAAAATGTACTGACAATATAAATTTGTAGTTTCCAATTAGATTTTGCTGATAATGGTTGTGTAATTGTGACCATTGTTGAACCCTGAGTATTTCTTTTTTTAATTTTTACGAAAACTTTATGATGCTGTTGTGAATTCCTAATAAATAAATCATAATATACTTTGCTTCAGAGTCATCTTCCATGTGTACTCAGTTCACCAATAAATAGATGGCTTTGGTGTTGATTTGTTGAATATCTTTTCCAATGTTTCTACATTGGGTTTACTGTTTTGCCTGTTTTACATCTGTTGCTTCACTTGCTTGATATGTTTTTTTTTTCCAGTTTTTATTGTCTTTTTAATTCTTTGCTCTAATTACAACATTCATTTTCAGATTCTTTCAATATTCACTTATGTCGTTTATAATTGAGTAATATTCTTTGATCATTTAAAATCTTAAATGTAATCAGACCTCGCACTCATAAATAAACCCTTAATCACTTCGTTTACTATAAACTGGCATGGGTGCCAAAAATACAATCTATACACATATATTTCAACATTTCAATGACAAATGCCATATTTTACAGGGCAATGAAATAAAGTCTGAAGACATCAATATGAACACCTCCACAACCAAATCTACATCGAATGAGGCTACTGCCACAATATTGTCACTGCTAACGACAGTGAGTAAGAAATCAAAACTTGCATTCGAACCACGGTACAACAATTTTGTGTTACAAACCAAGACTACAATGCAAATTAGAGCAACGGAAGCACTAAGTTTCAAGACGTGAAAAGTACCAATATTGCATGTTTGTCTTTCAAGATTTGGCGTACAAAAGTACTCATTTATTTTGTACAGCACAACATACCACACTAACAATCATGTAATCGCCGTCCATATGACAAACAAAAAATGATCCAGGCACACCATTGGATCATGAAAGACAAAAACCAACCCGGCCAAGGGCCGGGCACAGAGCTAGTTTTACAACAAGATCTAATGACTCTAAGTGTATTAAAGTATCAATACTATATAGCATACTAAAATGTCTCGTTATCGGGATATACGTTCTCAAATTTCTCGGACACCACTTATATAAGTACTTTGCTTTCTTGCCACTCCACCCTCCGTTAGTAGCCTTGTTATCATTCAGCCCTCAAGCCTAGAGGTGGCAATTGGATCGGATTCGTGGATTGGATTGGTGGATTCATGGATCAAATGGATTGGTGGATTCATAGATTGGATCAAATGGATTGGTAGATTAATCCATGAATCCAAATGACATCAAAGGCTTGGACCAAAATGTAAAATTTGAAAAGTTCTGGTACTAAAATGTCATAATGAAAAATTTTAGGTACCAAAATGTAATTTTCCAATGATATTTTTTGTACATAAAAATATAAATTTTAGGTACCAAAATGTAAAATATAAAAAAATATAGGTACCAAATCATAATTTGCCAATTAGATCCATGGATTGATCCATGAATCCACCAATCCAATTGGATTTGGATCAAATGGATTGGATTAGGTGGATAATTTGGTAGATTGATTGGATTGGATTCATGGATTTGGAACCTAATTGCCACCTCTACTCAAGCTCATTAATACTTCCAAACAAATAGTTTCCTGGCTACAATGTTTCTTGCCACATCATCCATATACGTTCCTCAAAGTTGGAACGAGCAGCTCTTAGTATGAACTTTGCATGAGGCCACAGAGTAGGGGTGGGCCGGTCGAACCGCACCGTATCGCATGGTAATTGGACCGCATCACATAGTTAACCGTAATTTAATTGATGCGGTCAAATCGAATCGCATAAGTACGCGGTTTGATACAATCTAGACCGCATTTTTTTTACCACAACTAATAAGTGTTCAGATTTGTACTTTCATTTTCCATTATACTAGCAAAAACATGAAAACATCACAATTTAATTTTTTCGATTGCAATCAATTTGCCAATCGATTCGAAATTCCAAAATCAAATTATCTTTCAGATCTCTTTATAATTTTATGCTCACACTCAAATCTTGGTATATATTATTAGAACTATTAAATCACAAGTTAAAAAATTACCAAAAATTGAAATTACTGTTCACTAAGGAAAAATCGGGATTTACTATTCACATAAGGGTATTGTGATTATCTACGTGTGTTTCTTGGTAAGTTGGGTTCACTTGCATTGGGCTGGAAAATGAACTATTAAATCACAAGTTAAAAAAATTGCAAAAAGTCGAAATTACTGTTCATAAAATGGGATGTACTGTTCACATAGGGGTATTATGATTATCTGCGTGCGTTTTTAGGTAAGTCTGGGTTCACTTGAATTGAGCTGGAAAAGCTTAGTCGTTGATTCCTTTTAAACTTCTTTGCATTCACGGGCTCATGTGTAGACTATCACACGTGATCTACATCTCTCATTCTCTCTCTTTTTCCGTGCAACCCCACCATCTGCTCTCATTCATTCCTTTTTCCCATTCCAGATTCCGATTTCATTCCCATTTGTCAATAGACTAACCCCATTCATCAAAATAAAAGAAAAATTCTATTTTTAATTCCTTATATGAGTAGCATAATTTTATTTTTTGGAATAGCATGTCATTGTAGAATTGAGGAAGAACTTGAATTTCCATTGCACCGCAAGGTTAATTTTACCTTTGTACAACTATTTCAGCGCCTTTTCATTTTCACATTATGGAATATTTATATTAAAAATACATTTGGTAAAAATTATAATTAACTATCATGTTTACCATCACATCAATTTGTATTATGCAAAAATACTATGAGATACATTAACATTTTCGTTATAATTTAATTATTTGTGATAGTTTTCATAACTTGATTTTATTATTAGACCAAACACTATGAAACATTTATGTAACACCATTTTATAGAAATTATGTAAATTTATACATTACACAAATCTTACAGAGAGATAATTATTTCTTATGTATCAATTAAAAAAATTGCACAACATAAGTTCTAATGACTAAAGAGTATACACAAACTTTATGGAGGAATAAATTTGTTTTAAGTAGAAAGTAAACAAACATATCGCATAAGTCTTCCATGATATAAGTTTTAAACAAATTTCCTAAATACTGAACAAAATTATTGATGATCTCATCAACTTACATTAAACAAAGATTCTGTAAGGTCGATTATTTTTTACATAACAGTTTAGGACACAATCCTTTCATGATATAAATTTGAACGAAAATTGCTAAATTATTGACTAATTGTTGACGATCTCATCAATTTGCATTACACAAATATTTTCTTAAGTAGATTATATGTTACATCATTGTCGATGATCTAATCAAATTTTATACTTTTATAACTTAATTCACTTATTATCAACTAATATTTCTTTATTTTTACCTACTATATTCAACCGCCCATCTATTTGTATCACACAAATTAAAGCTTTGAATCTTACACAATAGTTTAACCAAATGTAAGATATGTAACTTCATTTTATTATTAGACTACACGTTATGGAAGATGACGTAAGACATTGTATACCAGTTATTAAAATACACTATGCAAAACTTATGAAGGTTGAAGGAATAGTTATTTTTATCTATCCATCTAACAGATGTGTTACAGAAGCATTTCTTAATAATTAAGACACTACGTAAAGCTCATGGAAGTGTTTTACTTGAACTATTTTATGAATAATAATTTTATTTCAACTAAATCATTGAATTGAATGAGTGAATAAAATTTTATGAAAAATAATTAATTGATTACCGCCGCAAAGAGCGGGCAAAAAATCTAGTATATATTATAACCGGTAAATATCTTAGAATAGTCCAGTTCTGCTATGCATGTATATACACATAAGATCAAAAGCTCTCAATTCAAACGGCCTACGTTTATTATTACTAGCAATAACCCGCTAGCTACGCTTTGCGTGAGAGAACATAACATTAAACCGCAAGGAGTACAAAATTATTATAAATGTGGTACAGAGAACAATGACAATTTAATATCCATCATAGGATACAAAACATAGCTGAAGAGTAGATATGTTTTCGGTAGTCTTTGCATCATATATGTAGGTGACATGGTCCACAACAATAAGGCAATAAAGGTATTGAAATTTAGAATGATAATGGATCTGTACATCAATGCTTAATTATAGAAAAGTAGTGTAGAATTCATGTATTTGAAGAATTCATGTATATTGTAGGTTGAGTTGTGAGAACTTGTGTAATATTAGAATGCATTGTTTGGCTTGCATGAGTTAATGGTAGAACCCACATAATTTGGCATGAAATCTCAAATACTTTGGGTAAACCCAAAGCATTTGAGATATCATGGTCACATGAATTCTAGAATTACATGGTGCACCAATATCATGATATCTGTCCAAAAATAAAACAAGAAAAACAGTGGAATCTCATATATCATGTAATCTTGAAATCTATGAGTAGATTACATGCTTACCAAACGATCCCATAATGGTGGTTATGACAAGAGGCTTGCTATTTGTCACCAACCAAATTGCTATTTGCCGCCAACAAAAAAAAAAGTATATATGTACATCTTTGGTTAAGTAGTTTCACAATCTACAACATATCAAACTATCAGAGAACGTATTGAATCAGAAAAAATCGACGCTCGCCGGAAAAGTCGCCAAAAAATCATCTGGAAAGCCCATCCTTGACGTAAACTGCGGACACGCATCCATGAATCATCACTAAGCAGGTGCGTCAATTTTTTGTAGTTTCGAACAAATTTTTCGACAATTTGCAACGAACAGACGGTGGGCCGAAAATTTCCTGCGTCCGGAACTAGGCAGGGCCGACGGAAATCGGTTGTCGGAGCCAGGCTGAGCCACAAAATGTTTTCGGCCCACCGTCTGTGTTTGCAATTATTAAGCAGGAAACAAAGGAAACATATGAGTGGCTGCTGCGATGTATTAAAGAGTTGCTCGGTGATACGGTTCTGAATGTCATTGTGACAGACAAAGAAGGTGGTCTGCTTGCTTCTGTTCCTGTGGTCTTCCCTCTCCCACATACTGTCCACCTACTATGTTTATGGAACGTCAACAACTGTGTGAAGAAAAAGTTTGAGCAATTACTGGGTGGAATTGCAAACAGAGAGGTAGCACAAGCGGTATGGAAGAAATATTTCGACAAAGCTGCCACGGAAGATCCTAATGAGGCTAGGATCCGTAGGTCCACCAGGACACTCACCACTCGAACGTCCTCCCCTACTCCGTCTAGTCCCCGAGCTCTCTGTCTCCTCACGAGCAGGTGGTACGAACCGCCCAGCTCGGTCCCTATACATAGCAGGACGTGATGTTGCCGTACAAGACGACACTCGTCCATGTCCACGCGTAGGTGGAGGGACCTCGATATCCTCATCAGTATCGTCCTCATCAAACTCAGCCGAGACCACTCTTGATGCAGCACTCTGGTTCCTTCCATGGGAACCAGACGCCCGTGATGCCGAACGAGCAACTACAGTAGGAGCATCTAATTCATCCTCCCCTAAATTTGCCTCTAACTGATTTCCTGGCACGACCCGATCCTTTTTGAAAACCAAACCACAACTCAAACCACAACCCGGTTACTCCGTAGCAACCCAAAACAGTTTTCAAGTGAAATGCCCTAAACACTTGGGCGACCTCAATCCAGAGCAACAAAACATAAAACAAAATCCTTGAGTTCCCCAGTATACTCATTAAGACATGAAACTAAAGACAAATAATGGGAGGTCTCATCTCGTTACCCATATATGGGATGCCTCACACACATATCGCGCATACTAGAAAATTTAACTAAATAATAACTTGAGCGAAAACCGAAAACTAAAAAACCTACGACAGAGATTTTATCCCCTTTACAATCACCTCGAAAAGATGACTCCTCAATTCCTTTCTCGAAGAAACCCCTCCTTAGCCGGATTTTCTTGGGGAAACCTATTAATAAAAATCAATTTTCTTAGACGACTTTTCTTGATCCAAAACCCCTTTTGAATCACTAGAACGTCCTCTCCTCAAACTCTAGTCCTTGAACCTCATTCCAAGGGTCCTTTAACCCCCATTAAAATTTTCGAGAATTAATCGCCTAAAAAACGACCATTTTTTAATTATTTTAGTCTTGGACGAATTTTCCACCTAACTGGAACCTTCTTAAAAATACGGATAATAATTTTAACATGTCAATCATGAGCCCCTATACCCTGAAAAATTATCAAACCCTTAAAAACTCCTCGGAAAGATTTTTATTTAGTTAAGAAAATATTCAAACAATTTCTAAAACTAGAAATACATCTTCAAAAATCACCAAATTAAATTACAATCATCTCCTAGACGTCGCTCAATTTATAAAATTGATAGATTCAGAAAACAACCTTCAGAGAGGCTCAAAACAATTGAAAACATCTAAAAATACGTTTCTGGAAATTCCCAACAGCTTTAGTGACCAATCAAAATCTGTCACTAAAAGCCTGTAAAGCCTGTTACTAAACCCCAGAATTCTATCCTCACGAAAAATCACCAAATCAATCGATCTAACTCAAAGGGATCGAGTTCCCTTACCTCTAGAATGTGCCTAGGCCTAAGTTGGATGTCACCGCTAGAACACGAAAGGGATGAGATTGGAGTCGAGAACAGGGGCAGTGGTACGGTGGAATTTTAAAGGGCCAGGGGAGGGATTATTGTTGGGCGGCTGCTGCTCTCCCTCCGCTTCTGCTGCGCCGGAACAACAAGGAGGAGGGATGGCGGCTAGTTGCTGGGGCTCGATAATGGGAGGGGAATTGAGAAAATAATAATTGGGGGGAGGTGGTTTGCTAGGGGAAAAGGGTTTGGGGAGGGCCGCTCGGCCCTCCTCCCATTATTCTATTATTTTTTTAATAATAGAAATTATAATAATAATAGTTATTATTATTATTATTATTATTATTTCTAATCCGCGGTTGTAACTCCTAGGATTTAACCGTCAACCAAACCGATCATGTACAAAGGTCGAACCGAACCCAAAGGTCGGAGTGTTACATATCCAATATCTCGAGAGCGCTTCTTCTTCTTATTCTTCTTAGGCACCTTCCTTCGTGTTGATGCATCAACAATCCTACCATTGAATCTATGCAACTCACTCCCACTCGCATCATCCATATCTAATTATCTACAAATTTATACAATATCATACTTAGATGCACACTAATTAATTAAATTTCTATTAACTAATGTACTATTAACATTAATTGTTAATTAATCACAAATTAATTAATTTTCTATTAAATAATGTACTGAATATTAACATTAATTGTTAAATAAATTATTAATTAATTAATTTTTTATTAACTAATGTACTGAGTATTAACATCAATTTTTAAATCAATTATTAATTAATTTTTTTATTAACTAATCTAAGTAATTAAACATTCATACACCTATTATAAGAAAAACATTCATACACCAACTTAAATAAATATTAACACTAATTGCTAATTTCTATTAACTAATTAAGTAATTTTTATTGATTAATTAATTAACATATTAAATTAAATGCAAAAATCAGTTGGGCCGAAAAAAACCTGCGGCAGGTGCGTCGCCGGGCCGAAAAAATTTTTTGGCCGGCACATCGCCGCGCCGAAAATTTTTTTTGACCGGTGCGTTGCCGAGCCGAAAAAATTTTGCGGCCGGTGCGACGCTCAGCCGAAAATCCCTTTCGACCCAACGTCGCCTTGGCCGAAATTTTTTTTCGGCTAGCCAACAAACATGCCGCCGGAAAAATTTTGGCGGCGTGTTCGGCGACCAGCCGAAAACATTTTGCGCCCGAGGCGCCGCCGAGCCGAAAGAAATTTGCGGCTGGTGCGACGCCCGGCCGAAAATATTTTTCGGACCGGCGGCGTTCCGCTAGTAATTTTTTTCTGCCCGCCGTGTTTTTCGCCGGAAAAAGTGAACTTACTTGTTTTCCGAAGATTCAGGGCGATGGGAGGTTGGCCGGCGATGAAGGAACGGTGCCGGCGACGTAGGCATTGGGTTCGTCAACAGAAGTTTTTGTTGGAATGAGTCAAATATTAATGGTATTCGAATTTTTTTTTTTTTTTTTTGGTAAGATGGTATTCGAATTTATAGAATGTTTGGAAGGGAAAATTCAAATTTAAATTCAATATATTTTTTTTAGTTAGGGACAAATAGCAATTTGATTGGCGGCAAATAGACGTTCTCTATAACAATGATACAAACGTTGGCGTAGATATGCAAGGGGCATTAAATTAAAGAACAGAAAAGGGTTTGGTTGGGCCATTGTTCATCAACAACCATGAACCCAGCATGAACCTACCTTTGAGAGAGCTGACAAAGCAAATTGGCCACTAAACCCTATGATCACAGCATGCAGATAAAAAGAAAACGCTACCAATGAAACACAGTTCAAACTGACATCTATATTAAAATGAGATTAAGATTTGCAAGAAGATTGAATGAGGTGAAGACTAAAAAAACATTTAATTTTTATATAAAGTGTCACAGTAAAGAATTAAGAAGATAACATGCATTTAGTTATTCCTTTTAACTTATATATTGGAAGTTTGTATGTAAGGACATAAAGCATGGTTAAAAGAAATGACCAGTTGGAAACGAACGCAATTCATAGATCTTTCCCCACTATTAATCGGACAGTTCATCATTATCATTTGCTCTCGAGCCAAAGGAATCGAGACTATAACTCTCCAAGAGAAGTTTCATTCCTTCAGCTACAGCTGCAGTTTAGCAAAAGAGAAGATCATGAATCAAATTCCCATGCCAGCTGAAAATTATGTAATGTATAGGAAACCCAATGGAAGAAACTGTATGACGGTTTGATATTCAGTGGAATTCTAACCACGTCAACCCCACAAACTTTCCAGAGCGTTGAATTATAGAGAAAGTCACATGTAGAATGGTGAAGCTAACAAAGCGGATGGAAATATAGTTGGCTTAAAGAAGTTAATCTACGATAATTATCATAAATGGTTACAAACCTTTGCACTTTGTACAAAACGGTCACAAACCGTTTAATTTTTCACGTTTCAGTCAAATTAGTTTGAGTGAATAACAAAGAGGTCATTCTGTCCATTTCCATCCAAATTCCTGTTAAATTTAACCGGTCAACAATCCAAATCAGCAATTATATTAATAAAAGAAATCATCTAACCAACCGCCTGGGCTCAACTCAACCCACCCAAACTTTAACACCCACCCACAATTTCTTCGAAAACAAATCCCCACCTCCCCATCACCATGGACAATGGTTACCTTCTCCCAGAACCAACCTCCCCATCTGTTTTTTTATTTATAGATTTGCATCTCTAAAACCCACCTCGCCTCTTGATTTCAGAACCAAATCCCCCTTTCTCCTTCCTTTAATTGGTTCGCCGCCATTTACCTTCCCATCTCTTCCTCCCTTTTGCGGTACAAATCTGTCTTCATTACGATTCTTTCAATGCTTCTAACTACTGCTCCCTCTTATATAAGTGGCTGGATTCTTCAAATCATCAAGAGGAAGATCTTCTTGTCGAAGAGGAGGATGGCGGCTAATTAGCTGGGACTGTTCAGCAGCGGAAGATGAATCGCCCCACCTCCTGCAGTTCAGCCGGCGAACGAATCGGGGGGAGGAGCGCCGACGAGGATGAGGATGGTGGACGAATTGGTTGGAGTAGCTGTTAGCGGTTTTGGGCTGTAGTGGGCTTGTATGCTTTTGTTTGGCCCGTTGTTATAGTACCATGTACGTAGAAGTGTGTAGCTGTAGAAAACTAGCCCTAGCAGGTGCATACGTGAGCTAGGGTTAGAGGGCAATATATATATATATGTAAACATGTGGAGTATCGGACTGAAGAAAACCTAATAAGATTATCAGCTCGGAGAGTTCTAGCTCTCCCGTGGACTAGTCCCGATCTCGGGGAAACCACGTAAACAGTGTCTCTTGTTTTCTTCTTCGTTTTCGTATTGAGAGTGTTTTGATACTAGCTAACATGGTATCAGAGCTATCGTCTATGGATTCTGACATGGTTTCCGTTTGGTTGAACTCGAAGAACTATGTGTTATGGGAGTTTCAGTTTCGTATCTTTATCGAAGGCCAAGGCCTTCTTCTGTTTCTGGATGGCACGTCTAAGCGGCCACAAGTTCCGCCATCATCTGCTGAAGAACTCGCCAAGTGGGTTCAAACTGATGCTCGGGTAAAGTCTCTCCTTCTGAGTACTATCGATCCAGTTATAAGTCCGGGTCTTCGTCTGCTACGTTCGGCGCGGGATATTTGGGTTCATCTCGCCCAGACCTATAAAACCTCTAATCCGTCTCATCAATTCGAGATCATGTTCGAGTTAGCTCGACTTGAACAAGGGGATATTGATGTGACGCCATATTATAATGCGGCACAGTTATTATGGACAGAGCAAGATCTATTAACAACTGCTTTGTGCTAAGCTACAACGTCGGCAGAAGTGATTCAAGATCGTCAACGCACCCGCATGATGCAATTCCTCAGCCTCTTGAATCCTGAATTTGAATTTGTTCGTGCCAATCTGCTGCAGCGCGAGAATTTGAAAATAAATGGTATCCTTGCTGTTCTGGTCCGCGAGGAAACACGTCTAAGGACGCAGGCGCAATTGGACCTTTGCCCAGGTGCTGGCAAAGCGGTATTTCCAGTGGCTGGTTCGAAGGGTGCTGGGGGTTCTAGTTCTAAAGGCACAGTGCCTTCTGCAAGAGATGACGAGGTATATGTTGTTTCTAAACCTCACTTTCAACGTCGTATGTCGGAGATTGTGTGTCATCATTGTTGATAGCCTGGTCACTATCAAAAGTTTTGTAAGCAACACAATTTTTGCGTATACTGCAAGAAGAAAGGCCATATCATCACTGATTGCAGGCTCATTCAGCCCAGGTCGACTGGACCTAATTCTGCGCCACAAAATCCACCAGCAGAAGGTGCATATGCTGTCTGCCCTGCAGAGGCTTCCACCCCAGCTCCTTCTCACGGCCAGTATATGACTGCCGAGGCTGTTGAGCAGCTAGTTCACTCTGCCGTCCAGTGCTCGTTACCCACCGCTATCACGAGTGTATTTGCTTCCCTTCATCAGGCTGGTAAGACTCCCTCATGGCTTTTGGATTCTTCATGTTTCAATCACATGACGGGCAATACTCATTCCTTTATGAAATTACAATCGGTTAAGTCTGGGTCTATTCAAGTTGCCAATGGGCAGCGACTTAATGTTACAGGCATTGGCGATGTTGAGGCGCCAAAATTGAACTTATCTAGTACCTTATGTGTTCCGAATCTTCTGCCAAATTTGGTGTCTGTTGGGCAACTAACTGAGCAAAATTGTCGTGCTGTGTTCGATTCCTCTGGTTGTGTGGTTCAAGACCTAAAGACGGGGAGGCAGATCGGAAGGGGGAGTAAACATGGAAGAGTTTTTCAGCTCAAAGAATTGTCGGGTCAACCTTCGTCATCTCGATCATTGTCTAGTATTGTGTCTAGTTCGCTACTGGTTTTCTCTAGTTTACTCAATAATGAGTTTGGATTGTGGCATTCTCGGTTAGGTCACCCCCATTCCAGTCGGCTTGTAACCATGTTTAAACAACAGCTTTTTGGGAATAAAAAGGTTGATTTTTCTTCGTGAAATTTTCAGTGTACGAGTTGTGTTGAAGCTAAATCCACTCGTAACTCATTTCCATCTAGCACCACTGTGATTTCAGAGCCATTTCAGATTGTTCATACCGATCTTTGGGGTCCGTCACCTACGGATTCTCGACATGGTTACAAATATTTTGCGTTATTTGTGGATCATGCTACTCGATTCACTTGGGTGTATTTTCTCCGTTTAAAGTCCGACCTTTTGTCTGTTGCCGGCGAGTTTTTAAAAATGATTCAAACTTAGTTTGGTAGAAAAGTCCGTGTAGAACAGTCCATGCTATGTTGTTAGCCTCTCGTGTCCCAGCTCGATTTTGGTCGGAAGCCGTTGCTACGGCTGTCCAGTTGATCAATTATCAGATTACTCCCGTCCTTGGTCAACTTAGTCCTCATTTTGCTTTATTTAAGAAACATCCGGATTACTCCCGTCTCAGAGTTTTTGGTTGCACCTGTTTTGTGATTCTTCCGCGCAAAGAACGGTCTATGTTGTCCTCGAAAACCTCTAAATGCCTTTTCCTCGGTTATAACAATATTCATAAGGGGTACCTATGCTACGATCCATCGCTTAAGCGGCTTCATATATCTTGTGACGTAGATTTCTTCGTGCGTCTTATGTTTTACTGTAGTACCCCTGAGGATTAGCCTTTCTCTCCGAGCTGACCCGACTTCCTATGTTTGACGATGATGAGGACATGGATACAGATTTACTACTCCCCCCGACTCGCCTGCCCCCCCGACACCCATTTCCAGCTCTTCAGACTCCTCATCAACCAACTCGTCTCCGGCCTCCAGCAGCTCCCTCCATGCCAGCAGTACCTCATCCGCCAGCAGTACCTCATCCGCCAGCAGTTCCTCGTCTGCAGACTCACCGCCCACATCCCTCCTGCACTTCGCATGTCACTTTGGACAACAAAGGGACAACTCCCTATTAGGTACCATGATTTTGTCTCCTATCATGTTGAAGCTTTTACTGTCCCTACCTCGTATAAACAGGCCATGCTCGACCCCAATTGGAACAAGGCCATGCAAACTGAATTTGATGCCCTCCATGCCATGGGTACATGGGAGGTAGTTGATCGGCCTCCGGAGCCAGTTACAATTCTTGGCAATCGGTGGGTATATGCAATAAAAGTAAAGGCAGATGGTACCCTTGAGAGGTTTCGAGCACGTCTTGTTGTTCACGGTTTTGGTCAGGACTATGGTCTTGATTACGACAAAACCTTTACTCTGGTAGCAAAAATGCAAACCGTTAGAACTCTTCTTGCCATAGCTGCTATTCGTGGATGGCTCTTGTTCCAGCTCGATGTTAACAACGCGTTTTTGCACAGCGATCTCAAGGAAGTGGTGTATATGCGGCGACCACCCGGTTATACAGTTGGGCGTGAGGATCAGGTTTGTCGGTTACGCCGATCTCTCTATGGTCTCAAACAAGCACCCCGGGCTTGGTTTGAAAAATTTCAGGGGATGGTTTTGGCTCTTGGGTTTCGGCAGAGCAGCAATGACCCGTCCTTATTTCTCCGGTCTTCTTCTGCGGGTATTATTGCTTTGCTTTTGTACGTCGATGATATGATCATCATCGGGGATGATGCCGCAGGTATTATGAAGCTCAAGGCGGGGCTACATGCATCTTTTACGTTGAAAGAGTTGGGTTCTCTCTCTTATTTCCTTGGGTTAGAGATTACTCGGTCACAATAGGGCATTCTTATAAGTCAACGGAAATATATTGGGGATTTGTTAGCTTCGGATCAATTTGGAGAGTGTATTCCAGTTACTACCCCCATGGAAGTTAATTTGCATCTCAGCTGCAACTCGGGTGTTCCCCTCGTCAATCCATCTCAGTATCGTCATCTTGTCGGCAGTCTGATTTACCTTACTCATACTCGGCCCGAAATTTCGTTTGCTGTCCATGTGGTAACTCAGTTTATGTCCAATCCCCGGGTAGATCATCTTTCAGCTGTGCATCGGATACTCAGGTATTTACAGGGTACTCGAGAGGTTGGACTCTTTCTCCCTGCTAGTGGAGATTTGCGTTTACGGGCTTATTCCGACTCCGATTATGCGGGTTGTGATGATACTAGGCGCTCGACTACAGGGTGGTGTGTTCAGTTTGGTGGAGCTTTTGTTAATTGGCTTTGTCGGAAACAGGATAAGGTGTCCAAGTCATTGACAGAGGCTGAGTACCGCCCTATGTCTAATGTTTCCTATGAGCTAGTTTGGATGCAACGCCTTCTCCTGGACCTCAGTGTTTCTTGCCCGTCTCCGATCACCCTTCATGTTGACAACACCAGTGCGATTCAGATCGCCGTGAATCCGGTTCTCCATGTTCGCACTAAACATATTGAAATTCACGTTCACTATGTTCGTGATCTTGTTCATCACGGGTTTCTTGTTGTTCGTCATGTTGCTTCCGCTGACCAGCTTGCTGATTTGTTCACAAAGCCATTTCATCGCTCTCGTCATATGTTACTATCGGACAAATTGATGCTTCGGGTCCAGCATCAATTTGGGGGAGGCTGTTAGCAGTTTTGGGCTATATTGGGCTTGTATGGTTTTGTTTGGCCCATTGTTATAGTACCATGTACGTAGAAGTGGGTAGCTGTCGAAAACTAGCCCTGGCAGGTGTATACGTGAGCTAGGGTTAGAGGGAAATATATATATGTAAACATGTGGAGTATCGGACTCAAGAAAACCTAATAAGATTATCAGCTCGGAGAGTTCTAGCTCTCCCGTGGACTAGTCTCGATCTCGGGGAAACCACGTAAACAGTGTGTCTTGTTTTCTTCTTCGTTTTCGTATTGAGAGTGTTTTGATACTAGCTAACAGTAGCGCTAGCGAGGAGGAGGACCGCAGACGAATCGATTGGAGGAGGTCTGGTTGTCGACGGCAGGAGAATCTCAAATCACCCCCTCTCCTCGCGACTTCTGGTCTGGCTTTCCCGCAAAGCTCGATTTGGGGCTAATAGTCCACATAGGTAAAGGGTTTGTTCCGGCCGGTTGAATTACTGGGTTAAGTGGGATGGTTAATCATTTTTTAATTAATATTTATACTGACGGAGCGATTAGGACGGAATTTGGAACGGAATTGGACGAATTTATCATTTCGTTATTCGCTCAAACATTTATTACCAAAACGTGCAAAATTAAAGTACTGTGACCATTTTGTACAAATTGAATACGTTTGTGACCATTTATGATAACTACCAGTTAATCTAGTTATTCTAGTTCACATCTAGTCTCTATATTGACCAAACAGATTTACACATCCGATTGGACGTTTTGAAATCAGAAATGACTCAATAGCAAACTTAAGTCCAAAAATAGTACAAAATAAATAATGGCAGAGAGGCTGACGGTGATCACAATATAAGTCCTCCAATAATCAGAAAGGTAACAATGGATTCATATCAAAGCCAGGCTGCCAAAGTGAATCCAATTAGCAAAATTACCACACGCTAGATGGGTTTCTAAAATATCAAAACAAGAGTAAAGTAATACCCTTTTGTCCTCGCTTATCAAAGGCAGATTTCATTATTTCAAGGCTCTGGCATCTTCAATCGACTCCTGAAAATTCATGACCGCCATCTCGTGTCAAGGCATGTCTCTCCTGCAGCCGGAAAAGATTGTGATCGTGTTGTCCTACTGAATTTGGTTTGCCCTTTATTCGAAGCATAGAAGTGTCAAATAATCAAAAGAACACACAAAGACACCAAACTTTTTTAATGTGGTATCGTCAATGTGACACTAGTCCACGGAGAGGATCTCCCTCTCAGGTTTTATCGATTGTATTTTCTTGCTTTCAACCAACGTACACAGCAGCATACTTATAGGTTTGCTCTACAAACCCTAACTACAAGACACAGGCTATTTACAAAGAGGTACCCGAAATATACTAAACTAACACCCTCCCTCAAATTGATGTTGAGTGCGCAACATCAATTTGGATGATAGATATCTATGCCTGCTTGATCCTCCTGCTTTCGTCAATACATCTGCAGTCTGATCATCAGTCGATAATTAACTCAGTTGCACAACTCCCTTTGCGACTAGCTGTCTGATATAATGGACATGTACCTCTATATGTTTTGTCCTGTCGTGTAATACCGGATTCACAGCAATCTGAATAGCACTTATGTTGTCACCATAGATGCGCATAGGAAGTCTACATTCAACTCCTATTTCCTGAAACAATCTTTGCAGCCAGATCATCTCTGAGCTAACTTCGGACATCGACCTGTACTCTGCCTCAGTAGAGGACTTTGAGACCTTATCATGTTTTCTACACCGCCATGAAACAAAGGATCGTCCAAACTTTACACACCATCCAGACGTTGAACGTCTGGTATCCAAACAGCCTGCATAATCGGCGTCAGCAAATGCCTCTATCTCAGGTTCACCATCTGCTGGAAAGAAGATACCGACATCCCTCGTTTGTTTTAAATACCTCAACAGACGATGCACTGCATCTAGATGAGAAGTACGAGCAGGTCCAGTAAATTGACTAACCACCTGTACAGCATAAGCAATGTCTGGTCTCGTATGGGTGAGATAGATCAGACTACCAACTATGCTTCTGTAGAAAGTTTGATCTTCTAGCAATTCCCCACTGTCCCGGCTAAGCTTTAAATTCTGTTCCATCGGTGTTGAACACGGCTTACAATCTGTATACTGCGCTGCTTCAAGAAGATCATTGATGTACTTTCGCTGACACAACAAGAGTCCATCCTCAGTTCGGTTGATCTCCAATCCTAAGAAGTAAGATGTATCACCCAACTCCTTCAGATTGAAGGCTTCTCGCAGAGACTGGGTTAATTCCTGAATACCATGCGTGTCACTACCAGTGACAATCATGTCATCAACATACAAAAGCAACACCGTGTTACCATGAACTGTCTGTCGTGTAAACATCGATGGATCATTTTGACTTTGCACAAATCCAAACTGCAGTATTGTACCATGGAACTTCTCGAACCATGCCCTCGGTGCCTGTTTCAAACCATACAATGATCTTTTTAGCTTACAGACCATACCTGGTGCTCCTTTATCATAGCCTTCTAGACATTCCATGTAAATTGTTTCTTTCAAATCTCTATGAAGGAAGGCATTCTTCACATCAAACTGGATAATCTGCCACCTTTTCATTGATGCGGCTGCCAAAACACTCTGTACTGTTTGCATCTTTGCAACAGGTGCGAACGTCTCGTCATAGTCTATTCCATACTCTTGTCGGAACCCTTGAGCAACAAGTCTCGCTTTATACCGTTCCAAAGTACCATCTGGCTTCATCTTCACAGTGTAAACCCAACGACAACCAATGACAGAGCTTCCAGGAACCCGTGGGACCAATTCCCACGTGTCATTTTCTTCAAGGGCGCGCAGTTCTTCTTTCATTGCAGACTCCCAGTTTATATGACCCTTTGCATATCGGTAATGACTAGGAATAGGTATTGGCTCTACCGAGAAACCCACATAATCCCCTAATCTTTTCGGTGGTTGTCCCATAGTAACCCGCTTAGACCTTCGTAGTTCGGGCAAAGGAGGTGGTGTCCCTAACTCGTGGGCCGAATCTCCAGCCGAACCACTAGCTGAAGAGGAATTAGTAGATGCCAATGATAACTCACCAGCCAAGTTCCGTGAGGCCGAGTTCCGTGAGACCGAATCCGATGAAGAGGAGCTCTCAGGCGAAAGGGAAGTATGCCCATGCCCAGGCGAGTCCACAACGGGCGAAGAAGAGCTATCCGATCCCTCCGAACCTGTAGATGGAACACTTTCGTTGGTCAAGGAGAGGGATTGGCGAGTTTCATTATCATTCCCTCCCTGAAAATCGTCATCCCGAACTGCCGAAGTGGCATCAAATTGCGGTAGAGGCCGCAAAAAATCCATATCGGTGTGCTCCCGATGATCGGAGGAGGGATAATACATAAGCTGCTCAAGGAAAATGACATGACATGAAATATGCATGCGACGAGCGACAGGTTCGTAACACAAATACCCCTTGTGTTGGTTGCTATAACCAACAAATACACAGCGAGCCGTCTTGGGAGATAGCTTGTCACGTGCCTTCCTCGGGAGTAACACAAAGCAGAGACAACCAAACACCCGGAGTCGCGAATAGTCAGGAAGTTTGGAATAAAGCCGCTGAAAAGGAGACTGTTGCCCAAGGACAGGAGTGATCTGTCGATTAATCAGGTACAAAACTGTACTTACTGCTTCAACCCAAAAACCACGCGGAATACGAGAATGAAAGAGAAGAGCCCGCGTCAGTTCCAAGACATGTCGATGTTTACGTTCGACGAGCCCATTCTGTTGAGAAACACCGGGACAGGACTGTTGAGGCAAAATCCCATGAGAAGCATAAAACTCCAGCAATGGGTGAGAACTGAACTCCCCACCTGGATCAGACCGAATAGCCTTCACCTTTTTACCAAACTGAGTTAATACCATCTGAACAAAATGCTGAGCATGAGTGATTAACTCAGATTTTCTGAGTAGGAAATAAATCTAGGCAAACCTAGTAGCATGATCGATGAACAAAGCAAAATAACGATATCCCATCCGAGAAGGAACAGGGGAAGGACCTCAGAGATCGGTATGAATAAGCTCAAAAGGTTCCTCATAAGCGGTCTCACTCGAAGAGAAAGACAACTGTGAAGTTTTAGCTTCAATACAACTGATGCAGGAGTGAGAAGTAACCAGTTGAGAATCCAACTTGACAGGAAGTAAATTACTGCGAAACATATCCAATAGTCTAGTCTTGTGAGGGTGACCAAGACGACAATGCCACAAATCCCACATAATATTCTGTTTCAAAGAATTCCTAGAGCCATGAGGCTTTACAGCAGAAACCAAATCATCAACAACTGTCTCAAAAGGGGGAGATTTATTAACTAAACTATGGGGCAAAGGAGAGCTGGCCACGGCAGTTCTTGATGTCCGCGTTCCACCAGGTAATGTCATCTCCAAATGAGAGTCATCAAGAACGAACACACGACCATCCTTCTTACCCCTCCCGATCACCCTCCCTGTCTGCGGATCCTGCACAATACACCCGACTTCATTAAACTTAACTTCACAACCTGCTTCAGTCAATTGACCCACGGATACGAGGTTAGGAACCAGTTGAGGAACTAATAAAGTATCTGGCAATGTCACTCTGCCTGTAGTAGTCGTACCAATACCATGTACAGGGAGACGAGCCCCATTAGCCACATGAAGAGACAACACAGAGCTCGGTTTCAAGGAGGAAAAACCAGAGCGATTACTAGTCATATGGTTAAAGGCACCCGAATCAATTATCCAACGAGGATTACCTGAAGAGCCGCCCGTAGCAAAGGCAACTGTCAATGCACCAGGCAAAGTCTCTTGGAGAACTTCAGCAACTAAACGACGAACAGCCTCTGCCGTAAGAGTCGTTCCAGTCGCAACACTAGCAGAGCCAGTAGGGGCAGCCTCCACTGCATAACTAAAGCCACCAGCGCCTCGGCCACCACCCGTGCCGCGACCTCCACTAGCAAAGCGGGAACCACCAGCAGAGCGAGAGTGCCCAGACGCAAGAGAATCACCAGACTTGCTTCGGCGAGCAAGTGGCTTGCATTCCAGAATTATGTGGCCCGAGCGCTTGCAATAAATACATATATTGCGACGCTTGCAATGAGGTTGAATATGTCCAACCTCCTGACAAAAATGGCAAGTGAGATGACTTGTATCTCCCTGCTGAAAATGGGTTTCCCGGAACCCCCGCGACCGACAGCATATGCAGAATCACCAAATCCCGACTGATCAATCTGCGACTGACTTCGGAGTCGAGTTTCTTCACGAATGAGTTCACCAAGAGCTTCTTCAATGGTACCAATCTGACGATGCAGTAAAGAAGCACGAATGGCTTCAAACTCCGGACGCAATTTCATAAGAAATTGCATAAGACGCGCACGAGATCGGTCCTTCAGAACCTCGTCAGAAGCAGCAACAGACAGCAAAGAAGCAGAGAGGAGATCATGTTCAACCCATAATGTAGACAATTCCTGATAATAGGTACGTACATCACGATCACCCTGTTTAAACAATGCAATTTCAGTTTCCAGGTGAAACTGACGAGCTGAATCATGCTGAGTGTAGGTGGAACATATATGCTTCCACATATCACTTGCTGCAGTGAAACGACGAAGACTAAGCCCAGTGGCAGTATCAACACATGACACAAGCCAGGTAATCACTTGAGCATTCCCAGAAGCCCATTCGAGAATAGTATTAGCAGGGGAATCAGCCGCCGGCTTAGGGATGGTACCAAGCAAGAATGGAAGAAGCTTCTTCCCTTCCACAAAATTCCGGAATTGAAATTCCCATAAAGGAAAATTTTTCCCATCAAATTTAGCTGTGAACCCATCCATCCTGAGCAGCAAACAAGACAACAAATACCTTGCCAAGTAGAGAGAGAGGCCGAGCAAAAGAATGGTCGAGCAAAAGAAGAGGCAGACCTGATATGACCACCGCCAACGCCAAGAAGAAAGACCACCGCCGCCGAGCAAAGAAGAGGCGATCCCAGAAATCGACAGCAGGGGGGAAGGGACCCAAAACGAAGGCAGAAGACCTGATGAAGATGCCGAGACAGAAAACGAAGCAGCGCCAAAGATAACAAAAGGAACCACCTGATGAGGAGCAGAAAAAAGGAACCCTAGCAGCAGTGGCGGAGCCAGAAAATTGGCCAAGGGGGTGTCTTTATCCTATCATAAAAAATCACCTATATAATAGAAAAGTCAACTTTAAATTAAACAAAAAGTCAACAACTCAATACTCTAAATTCATACAATTACATTAAAATAGTTTCACGTACACCGGTTACAACGTCAAACAAATAAGTTCAGTACATACAAATCAATACTTTCATTCATCAAATATTACAAATTAGAACTCAAAAGTACCTTGGAATTGATTTTGTGAAACAAACATGTGAACTTCAATTGGTACTTCTTCACTTTCAACTAGGTTTAAACAAAAAACAAGAAATTTCTCTGTTGTAGAGCTACAAAAAAAATGAACGAGTTTAAACAAAAGACAACAATTTATTACTATAAATAAAGACGAAAGTGAATTGCATAACAAAACTCACTCGATCGAAATGATAAGAAATTCTTCCTGCAACTAAATGGTCATTAATTCGAATTTGTATATACCCCTACTCGAAAAAAATTCTCCAAATCCAAGGGGGGTGCTTGCACCCCCCCTCCTCTCCAAGTGGCTCCGCCACTGCCTAGCAGCGCCGATCAGTACCAGACAATTACGGCGAAATACGATCAACAGATCTCAGATCGCAGGCTCTGATACCATGTCAAATAATCAAAAGAACACACAAAGACACCAAAGTTTTTTAACGTGGTATCGTCAATGTGACACTAGTCCACGGAGAGGATCTCCCTCTCAGGTTTTATCGATTGTATTTTCTTGCTTTCAACCAACGTACACAGCAGCATACTTATAGGTTTGCTCTACAAACCCTAACTACAAGACACAGGCTATTTACAAAGAGGTACCCGAAATATACTAAACTAACAAGAAGAGGAAGAAGAATAGGAACTCTCAGATAGGCTTCAATTTCCCCCTTCCTATTCACTAATCACTGATGGTCGTCTCATCCTAATGATATAGAATTCCGTGATGGTCATGTTCATGAAATGGCAATGAGTTGTGGGCTGAACAGAAAGCAAACAATTGAGGACAAAATCATCACGAAATGAAAGCATACCAATAGTAGAGAGAAGGATATTGACTCGTTCCAATATGAATAATTTCCTATCCCATCATTTGCTTCACTTTTCACTTTGAAGGTCACATAAAAGTAGATAAACAGACAGAGAAATGATGAATATAATTTAAAGAAGTGGCTCGAGTTAAATCTGCAGGCACAGACTTCATACATCAAGAGCAGTCCTTTGTAGCTTATCCTAGCTCTTATTTATTCACGTCAATGAACAACCCAGCAATATAACCATGGACCAAAGTCAAACAACATTTTGTTCGACCATTTTTCTCCTCGTACTTTCACAAAATGCCTACATTTTGGAATAACTAATACCAATAAATGCTTTCCCACTAATCTTGCCGCTGAAACTTAACAAATGTTAGAAACTCACAACATTTTAAGTAAAACGGTATTACCTAGAAGTCAATCCAGCAAGAGGAGCTCCGTTAGTAATTGCCAAGGCTGCGAATAAGTGCAGCTATTCTTCAATTGTGAATGAAGCACCTTAGTGAAATAGCGTGCTATTATCAGCAGCAATCAACCATCAATTTCAACAACAAAAGATGTACAAAATATAAAGTGTTTTCCTCCGCAGTCCTACACCAACTGTGAAACCCAAAACCCAAATCGAATTGTTCCTCTAAAAGTAGAAAATCTATAGAACCCAGAAATGATAGAGAATTGAAACTACAGAGAATGGGGGAAACTATCCGCGGGTTAAAAGCAGACGAGCAAATTTACAGACGACTGATTTTCGGCAATCATCGACTAAGAAGGAGAACATGCAACAGAAAGAGGCAAACGAAGTAGAAAAGAAAGATTGGAGTAAGATTAAGGTGAAGTCACCTCCTGTGGCCGAAGACACAACACTCAAATGCGATTCAAGGGATTTGTTTGGACCCCTTTGTTCGCAAAAATGAGTGATGCTCTGTCGTCCTTATTCAATCAAAATAGAAAATCAAAATCGCTATTCTTCTTCATCTGCCGTAGCTATTATTGAAGAAGGAAGCTGACTGGATTCTGTCTAATACAAAGAACACTACCGAGCTGGCGGCAAGCACCGTTTCAACCAGAAGCAAGTGAAGAGCTGGGAGCAGACGACACCGTTCTACTTAGTGTTCTTATTGGTTTCCGTTTTTACGGTAGATACACCGCTGTCTTCTGTTGATTGGTAGTTATAGGACAGTTAGTTTATTTTACCGTTGTAATTAAGCTGACTGGACCCCTTGTACAGGAAGCTTTCTCTGGCTTCGTATGTAAACTGCCCATAAGGTAAATGAGCTCCTTGCGGGTTCTTCCACCAAACTCTGATCCTATCCAAAACTTCACATGGTATCAGAGTCTGATTCAGGCAATTAGAGTTTCATCCTCACCCGCATTCTTTCTCATCTAATTTCTTCATCAAATTATGGCGACTACAGCTGCTGATATTTCTTCCAATTCCTCTTCTACAAATTTTAACACCATTTTTACTGTGTCACCTACAGTCACTAGTCCCTACTACATCAACCCTAATGAGTCCCTCGTCTTTCCAATCAAGCTCACTAGGGCTTCAAATTACAGCTTATGGAGCAGGACAGTTTGTTTGCCCTGAAGAGCAAGAACAAGCTGAGTTTTATACATGGGTCAATTCCTGTCCTAGATCCACAGAATGAGTCTTACCCAGCTTGGGAATAAAGCAACACATCTGTGTTGTTCATATCTGGGGTCTCTTGACTCAAGCTTAGTCGATTCTATTTCCACCATTGAGAATGCACAACAGCTGTGGGAAGATCTGAGGCAACGGTTTGGACGTGCTCATAACATTAGGATTTTAGATTTGCAGACTGCCTTATACTCCTCGAAACAAGGTAATAAATAGATTTGTAAACCAGTTCTTTACCGAATTAAAGGGATTTTGGGAGGAGATAGGTCAATTTCTGCCTACACTTAGCTGTGAATATGGTGGAACGGCAAATATTGGAGTTCCTTGTATCACCGAGACTACCATGAAGAAATATGGAGAGAATGAATTTGTGACTAGGTTCATTAAGGGTTTGAATGACTCATATGAGGGAGTGAAAACCAATTTGTTTATGATGAGTCTCTTACCAGCCATGGAAACCGCATTTCATTATGCTATTCAGCATGAGAGGCAACTGGTTAAGCCCGACCATGAATCTCAAGTGGATTCAGTGGCATTACTAGCAGCAAACCAGAAGAAAGGAAAGGAGGCTGCTAAGGGTAACTTGTTCTGTCGTTACTGCAAGAAGGAAAACCATGTTATACCAGATTGTTATAGGCTCAGAAGGAAGAATTCTCTCAAAAATCAGGAGGATCATCTGGATTCGCAGGGCAGATTCAGAGCACTGAGGGAAGTGGTATACTCCCTAGGCCAGAAACCAAGAGTTTACCTGAGACTGGGGATGGTTTTATGAATATTAGGTTGTCTGTTGATGACTTGAGCAGGCTTCAAAGGTGACTCAATCAGTTCAGTCCACCTGAGTCTCATACTTCACCTGTGTTACCTGGATCTCAACCTCAACAGAACCAGCAGAGCCAGCCATGGTGAACTCCATTATGAGGCATCTGTCTGTTAATCCGAATTTTGCATGTAAACTTACTTTGAGCACATACTTCCTTAAGCATCCTTTGGAACTTGTCAATGTGTAGTTGCTGGATACAGGAGCCACTGATCATGTGGCATGCTCATTAGCCTTGTTTGATACTTATAAACCCATCCAAAATGTGTTCATAACCCTTCCTGATGGTTCCAAGTCATATGTCACACATTCTGAAACTATTTCACTTTCAAATAGCCTTGTCCTTCATGAGGTTTTATTAGTGCCAACCTTCTCCTTCAACCTAGTCTCTGTTAGTCTACTTACCAGAACTCTACTAGTATCACTTACTTTTAAATCCAACCTATGTGATATCCAGGACCTATTCACCCAGAGGAGGATTGGTTCTTCCTGTCAGACCAAAGTCATTGTAGTTATAGGATAGTTAGTATATTTTACCGTGGTAATTAAGCTTACTAGACCCCTTTACATGAAGCTTTCTCTGGCTTTGTATAAAAACTACCCATGAGGAAAATGAGCTCCTCGCGGGTTCTTCCTCCAAAATCTGATCCTATCCAAAACTTCACAGCTATAGGCTATTGCTTGATCATGTATAACAGGAGTGAAACCCACCTGTCGCAGAGGCCGGTGTTTACCTCGACGAAACTCAGCGACTAAAACACACCTGTTGCTGGGCCCCTGAACTTTATGGAAAATATCTGACATTAACACCAGTACAACAAACACAAGAAAAACTGTAGTTGACTGACGCCTTCTAAAAGGAGAGAAGTCAAGTAGAAAGTAAACCCCAAACCAGGACCCATTCGACATGCGACCAAGCACAGTAAATCGAATAGCTTTTGTGGCGCTCCCATCAAATTTATCGTACCAAGTCACCATTGCAAGCTCCGACATCACTTCCATCAAAATTCAAATTTTTTATCATAATACCCGAGCATAAACAGAACCTCAAAGTGAAACAGAAATTGACGAAGTGAAAAGGGGGAAAAGGGAAAAGGGTTAGGCAGCTTTGAGAGACCACTCCATCAAGTTTGGGATCCAATAAGCAAACAAAGGGGATGTGAAAGAAAATCAAGTTTAATAAATAAAAAAAATGTGTAGCTAAAATATCACAACTAGGCAAGTTGTGAAGTGTATGGAATTGTCTAGATAATGTATTAACGTTGGTAGTTATGGATTAAGAAAAGAAAAAAAAAACAAGTAAACAAATGAGTAGATATTTGTGGGGTTAAGTAGGTGTGAAGTGATAGTTAAGTGTGACAAAGTATAAACCACAATTTAGTGTTGAAACTTGGCTATAAATAGCCATGGTTTGTGTATGGTTCCTTCATCCCAAGCAAAGAGAAGCAAATAAGAAGAAAGAAAGACGAGAGAGTGAGCAATTGTGAGTTGTGGGGTTGTGAAAAACTTAGAGAGTTTGTGAGCATTTCGATCTAATTTTTCCTACAAGTGGTATCAGAGCCCAGGGTACTACTCATATGCTCTGTGGTTGCGGTATAAGCCGATCTTCCACATCAGAAAAGGGTTCCTTGTGCTTTGTTATCCTTGCCAAGGTTATTCCTCGTATGCTCCGTGGTTGCGGTATAGGACAATCTTCCACATCAGAAAAGGGTTCCTTGTGCATTGTTATTAGAACTGGTTCAACTTAGAGCCAGTAGTGACGAGATCCTCAATAGGTGGTCAAAGGATGCAGTTATTTTAGTAAGATTGAAATAGAGAACTTGGAGAAGTTTCCAAGTAAAAAGATGGAGGGTTTCTCAGTTACTGCCATGGAGAAATTGAACGAGACCAACTACTCAAGTTGGAGCACCTGTATGGAGTTTTATCTCAGAGGCCAAAAGCTCTGGGAAATTATCACCATCCCACCACCCAAAGATGAGAAGCTGTTGGAGGAATGGAAGCAAAAACCAGACAAGATCATGTACATCCTTGCAGTCACGACAGAAGACCGATTCCTGCCTCGCATCAAGAAAAGCAAATCCCCGAAGGAAGCTTGGGATACTCTCTCCACAATCTTCGCCAGGACCAATGAAGCGAGACTCCAGAGACTGAAGAATGAATTGATCTCACTATCCCAAGAAACATTGACCATTGGTCAATATTTCAACAAAGTAAAAAATGTATGTGCCGAAATTTTGAGACTGGATCCTGAAAATCCAATTTCTGAAGCTCTGATAAGAAGAATCATCATATGGGGCTTGAGATCGGAGTTCAAGCGCATAGTAATAGCAAGAAGAGGGTGGTTAAAGGAGCCAACCCTAGTTAAATTAGTGAATCTTCTAGCAAATGAAGAAATTCTCCATGACAAGATGTCAAAGGCATCAATCAAGGAAGAGGAGAAGGCTCTGCTCAGCAAAAGTAAAGACTCTAATGGTGGAGAGAAGGCTCTTGCATCAATAAGAGGCCAAAAGGGGTTTAAGAAGAACCAAAAGTGAAAAAATAAAGGAGGCAACTACCGAGGGGGAGCCTAGAAAAGTTATAACCACCGTTGTAAAAAGTGGTTAAGTACCATACATAGGCTTGTTTAAGATCCAACATAACCTTCTCCCAACAACTCGAGTTATAGGGACTAACTGGATGTTGAAATAGTATCAGAGTTGGTTTGTCCGTGAGGTCACATGTTCAAGTACTCACGACCCCCAATATTAACTGTTGTCTTTCAAGCACATGGTATGGCGGGCTTGTGCAAACTTCAAACCCATGAGTCGGCTTTCGTTTGAGGGGGCGTGTAAAGAAGTGGTTAAGTACCATACATGGGCCTGTATAAGATCCAGCAATACCTTCTCCCATAAACTCGAGTTATTGGGATCAACTGGTTCTTGACAACCGTAACAAAGGTGGTGATGGAAAGGACAGGAAGGAGCATGATCGAGAAAATGGCAATTACTACATTTGCCATCTAGCCAGAGATTGCTGGCACAAAAAGGAAGAACGAAACACTGCAACTTCTTCCAAGATGAATGATGATGAATGGGACTTCCAAGTATCCTTTGCAACGAAAGCTCTAAAAGGCGCCACTGAAGTGTTAGCGCTTATGTCAGTGGACAAGATGTCATTGATTATGAGAATGATTGGATTGTGGATTCGGAATGTTCAAATCACATGACTGGTGATGAACATAAGCTGTTAATCGTGTACGTGTATAAAGGTGGACGAGTAGCTGTCACCGCCAACAAATCTAAGCTGCCAATCACCCACATCGACGACACACTTAGTACTCCTCGGTTTGGCGATCAACAAGTGGAGCTGTCAAACTTTTACCACGTCCCTGGAATATGAAAGAATCTAATGTTAGTATCACAACTGACCACATTTGGTAATTATGTGGTATTCGGTCAGAGAGATGTGAAGGTGTATCGAAGCTTACAACCAACTTCTGATCCGATCATGCAAGGGCAGAAGCTGGAGTCTGTCTATGTAATGTCAGCAGAAGTTGCTTATGTTGACAAAAACAAGAAGGAATGAGACGAGCTCTCACAGAGGCAGAACAAAGCAAAGGAACAGACCTGGACTGAAGCCACCACGCTGGGAATACAACTGTAGCAAAAAAAGACCAAGTTGGGAAAACAACCGCAGCATAAGAACCCCACGAAACAAGACTAGCAGGCGAGCAACCCTAATACCACAAAAAGCACTGAAGCAGCTGAGAAACACAGTAGAGCTAGCAATTGAGAAACAAAACACAATAAGCAGCCGAGACCATAGAGTAGACGAGAGAGAAAACCCAACAAAGCAGCTGAGAACGTAAGGGCAGACTGTCATAACTGGGGAGCTCAATTAGTACGATATTGTACGCTTTGGGTCAAGCCCGCACGGATTTAATTTTGGGTATCCTCCCCAAAAGACCTCGTACTAATTGGGATAGGTGGACACTAATATACAAGGGTCCCTTCCCTTGTATCTCCGATGTAGTACTTGGATTGTTCCATTACAATCTTCCCCTCAAGACAAGGACCCCGAACTTCGTGTCCTCTACTCATCGATTATCTATACTTTCCTTCTTCGATTTTTCAGACAACGGAGCCCACAAACCCTGTTGTTTCAACAGTGCTTGCATCTTGATCTGCCAGAAACTTAAACTGTTTCTTTTGGTAAACTTCTCAATCTTCATACTGATAGTAGCCATTCTTACTATCAAACAAACTCCAACCAAACTTCTCACCAAACAAGCGATACCAAAACATAACTACCCAAAGTCAAGTCCAAAGTGATTCCTCCACCGAACCAAGATAAAGAATTGAAAGCTACCTCCACAAAGCAAAACTTCTGTCCAACGCCAAATTCCCAAAATCACAACCAGGCTTGGATACCACTTGTCATAATCGGGTAGCTCAATGAGTACGATATTGTCCGCTTTGGGCCAAGTCCGCACGGATTTAGTCTTCGGTATCGTCCCCAAAAGACCTCGTATTAATTAAGTTAGGTGGACACTAATATACAAGGGTTACTTCACTTGTATTACCGATGTGGTACTTGGATTGTCCCATAACACAGACAAATCCTTAGATAAGAGGCTCTGATACCATGATAAGAAAACAAAAATAATAAACACGAACACCGAATTTTACCTGGTTTTCCTGAGAATCAGGACTAGTACACGGGAGAGGTAGAACTCTCCAGAATCAATCTTATTCAGCTTAGTTTTACGGAATAGATAGGGTATTTATGTGTTAAGGTTACGATCCTAATCCTACTAATTAGTTTAGGAACTCACGTAATAGGGAGAATTACTATAAGCTAGCTACCTAAACTAAGTAAAATACTTAATTTCAACACTTAGCTGCCTGGAATCGTGGGTTTTCAGTTTCAAGATGGGAAAGCACTAGGACTATCTCTGGTCTGGGAAATTGAGGAGATAGAAAGCTGATGGAAAAGTTCCGTCGAGATGGAATCGGAGAGCGGACATGCGAGACAAACCCTGGAGGCTGCGTATATGAGTTTATATATGGGCGATGATGGAAAATCAAGATGTTTTTGAAGGCTAGAAATACAACCCATTCTCACAATGATTATGATGACGATGATAACTAAATCTCCTTTCTGTATTTACATGCAACGCACAAGAATTTGTAGGTTGAAATCCCAGGCCCTATTATCCACTGATATAGATCATAAGACAGAAAAACATTGAAAAGATGGGAAGCAAAATGCATTGGTCAACGCAAATGATAGGCCATATGTTTTGGGGTCGAATGCGACAGAGTGTTTTGCAGTAAATAAGTGTTTCCAAAATGAATGAGAACCGTTTCTGAAAAAACTAGATGGGATGAGGAGAAGTGATTATTTTAGTGGTAGAGGACGAAAGATAAAAGACATTGCAATTTTTTTTATGTGTTACGTTGGCGATTGATAGATCAACAGCTAATGAATGGGACCCGAACTGTGTCCTTTTGTGACTGCAGTTGTTGGAACAGTTGGCTTCTAGTGAAACCAGACTGTAATGGCAGCTAATCACTTATTGATTCATGATTATTGAAGTAAAACATAATCTTACTATATTTTAACGAAAATGAAAACTTGGTCTCACTGTGAGACAGTAGACTTCTTCATGAAATGAGGTATAACCATTCTCGATAAAGCCACTCAGAATCAATTGGCAAGAGGTCAACGTTTGCGTGAGTTGCTTAAACAATCCCAATCAGCTCCTCTCACGATGGAGGAACAGATAATGACTATTTTTACCATTGCATTTCAAGTCATCCACTTTACTCGATGTTTCCTTGGAATTGGATGCAATAGCTACGGTTGAATTCACTAATTAATATAATACGCCATTACCCTCTAATTAATATAGTGATAACTGATAATCATTGAGTTTAATAATTCTAATTTCCTTCATTGGTGGCCGGAAGTCAACTGTTGCCTTCCCTCCTCCAATCTTCCTATAAAAAATAGAAGAAGAGATATACACCAAGAAAAACAGAGAGAACCCTATTAAGAAAGAACGAAAGGGAGAGGAAGGAATATAACGAAGAGCAATACTGAATGATGATGATGATACACATCTCTTCCGTCTCGCCAACGTTGCTTATTATCCCACTTATACTGTTCATAGCATCCTTCATTTGGGGCTGGCGAGTGTTGTCCGCCAAGAGATCTGCTGCAGCGCCGCCAGGACCATGGAAGCTGCCCATCTTTGGGAACGTACACCAGCTCATGTTCAGCCGAGTTCGAGCTCCCCACATCCGGATGAGGGAATTGGCCCAGAGATACGGGCCCGTGATGAGCCTGCAGCTCGGGGAGGTGGTCAACGTGGTCATCTCCTCCCCAGAGGCTGCCAAATTGGTGCTGAAAACCCACGACTTGGTCTTTGCTTCCAGGCCCAGTCTCCTGGTCGCCAGGATCATCTTCTACGGTTGCAAGGACATCGGCTTTGCGCCTTACGGGGAGTACTGGCGGCAGATGCGGAAGATCTGCATCGTGGAGCTGCTCAGCGCAAGGCGCGTTGCTTCGTTCCGCTCTATCAGGGAGGAGGAGGTCTCCAATCTAATCTCTCGCATTCGTGTCGCTGCAACTGCGAGGAACGAGGAGGGCGTCGACCTCAGGGAGATGCTATTTTCCTTCACCAGCAACGTCACTTACAGGTACGCGCGGACTTGGATGCATAGTTATTAAAAATCTGTTTAATCTTCTAAATCCGTTTATAATTTCTGCTCTCGTACGACTTTAGAGCCGTCTCCATTTTCTCGGTTTGTTTGATGCCTATCGTAATAAACACATAGAAAACGTTTAAAATATGTATTCGAATTTTTTTATATATTTTAATATGGTTTGGATTAAGGTACAGAACTATATAGTTTTGTCTTACTACAAGATCATAATAGATGGCTACACCATTTTATTCATTTTGATATTTTTTTTGAACAAAATATTTTGAAGTAATCATACTACCGTCAATGACATAATGATATCACCACGAACAATATTATGATATCATAGTGATATGATGTTGATATGAAGTCTTATCCTATGGTTGACAAAATAATTTGATAACTACAGCGATAATAAAATGACAAACAAAACTTTGTATGTATTAATATTGTAAGATATCAATACATTATTTTGGTAACTATGCTTGGACGATGACTTATTGCCTTTACTTTGTTTGATCTCTCCCCTAATTATTCAAGAGGGAGGTTCTTGAATTACTTGAGTTGTTTGGTAGAATGGGAATATCCCTATTTTTTTTAGTTTTTTTTTGTCCAAGATATGCCAAGAAGGCTCAAACCGATAAAAACATATTACAAGATGACAATAACCAGATGCGGTAGTCCGTAACCAACCAAACTAGCGATAAAAGAGCAATTTTTGCCACTACATGGGCAGCTTTGGAAAAGCTCCGAGGAACAAAGGACACGAAACTGACACAAATGAAATAAAAAAAAACTTCTCCAAGATAGCCCTGCGAGTGAGGTTGATTCATCTTCAAAAGACCATTGAAATGAACATGATTCCCCTTCAAAACAACAAACAATAAAAGAAAAAATAAATAAATCAATTTGGTGCTAGAAATATCTATCCTAAGAGTTTAAAACCTGCCCTTAGGGCATAGTCAGGATAACCGAATTCTCACGCCATTGGTGTGATACAACTTGGAAAAATAAAGGTTTATCGTAAGATCGAGAGTTTGCTTTTCATAGTAGATTTTTTTTTATGGTTAATCAAAATTGTCATTAAGCACGTGAGATGCCAACAGGCATTAAACTCCTCTCAAGATTTAACAAGAACCCTAACCTCTATACATTCATAAACTCTCTATCTATATCAATGAGAAACAAGTCGAAAACTATCTTGAAGTTGTACACTTCCTACTGTAAAGTAACGAGCATCACTTTTAATCTTTAGTAACAAAGTAGAAGGGGAGCACCAATCACTATCTCCAGCAACTCTTCTGCACCTCTTGTGCCATAAATGGCTTAGAGTCAAAAGCCACTCCAACAATCCACACCCCCATTGAAGGTGTTCCTCCCAACTGTTGAAAGTAGGAACCACACAGCTTATCTGCTGCATAATGTGCTTCAATATCCACATTGAGTAAAAACACAAGCAGAAAAGATGAGTACGTGATTCTGATCCTCCCAAGCATAAAACACACAAATGCTCAGTAATCAATCGCCAAGCAAGTAACTTGTCTTTGGTATGTAGACGACCCATTACCATAAGCCAGACTAATAGTGAATTCTTGGGATAATACGGTTTTCCCCAGATCACTTTGCTCCAAAGAACTAACTGATGAGGAGATTGTATTGAATCCTATATTGCCTTGATTGAATACTTCATAAGTGAAGCTCCATTCCATTGCAAGGTATCACCACTACCAATCATGAATGCCTGTGCCCTAAGCATGCATTTGAGGATTTTCCTCCACACCCAAGAACCACTAGCAGTAAGCTGAAGATCCCAAACAGTTCGCTGCTTGACCCTGTATTTGTAAATCCAGGCAACCTAGATAGAGTCTGGGAGATGTCGAATGACACAAGCCTGGTTCCAAGTTTTAAAATCACGAACCCCCATCCCACCTTCCTTTGTTGGCAAGGAAAGATAATCCCATGCTACTGGCGCTCTCTTCCTTGAATGCCCTTCTACTAACCCCTAGATACCTGACATGAAGAGTGTCCAGAGGAAACCCACTTGTGCTTGAAATAAAATCCTTCTCATCCTGAGATATCCCCGCATAGTAGAGACAGCATTTATCCATGTTACATTGAAGCCTAGAGACAATGTAAAGCTGATCAAGTAACCTTCTGATACCAACAACACCTCTCACAGAACCATTGGTAAAAACAAGCAGATCATCTGCAAAGCACATATGAGTGATCTCTAGTGCATTGCATCTTGGATGATAAGGGATTTGATTTTCAATAACAGCCCTGTCAAGTAGCCTAGTGAAGATTTCCATAGCTATGGTAAAAAGGAATGGGGAGAGGGGATCTCCTTGTCTAAGCCCTTTACCTGCCGGCAATGTAGTCAAAAGGGAGTTTCTACATTGAAACATTTTGGTGATCTAGAAGCGTAAAATGGTAAGTTTTAAAGTGGAGTTTTTAACTACAAAAGTTATAAAAACTGAGATTTTGTGTAGAAGCGATTTAGTGACCTAGAAACGTAAAATCGTAAGTTTTTAAGTTTTAAAGCGCGATTTTGACTACATTGCCTGCCGAGAAATACCCACATAATCCCCATTAAAAGCTACACTAAACATAGGGGTAGTGATGCAAGCTCTAATTAGATTCAGGAAGCAATCTGGGAAATTCATAGCATGCATTGCTGGAATGATAAGGGATCTGCTAGTCTACCGAGTCAAAGGCCTTCTCTAGATCAATCTTCAAAGCACACCTAGGATTAATAGACCTCTTATGATAGTCTTTTACTAGTTCAGTGGCTAAGAGAATGTTATCACTTATGGATCTACCCTTAACAAAAGCAGATTAGGAAGTTCCTATTACTTTATGAAGCACACTAGAGAGTTTGTTGGATAATAATTTAGATATACCCTTATAGACCACATTGCAACAGGAAATAGGTCTAAAATCTTCATTTTTTCTACATTAGGAATCATTGGAATAAGAGCAAGAATGGTGGAGTTTACCTGTCGTGGCATACTCCCCGTTGAGAAGAATTCCAGAATTGTATTTTTCACATCTATACCCACAATATCCCAATCAGCAGTGAAAATTCATTTATGTAGCCATCTGGGCAGGGGCTTCATCCTTTCCCATAGATTTGAAGACCTTCTTGATTTCCTCTCTAGTAATCTGGGTTTTTACAACCTCATGATCCTCATCAGTGAGCTTCATTTTCACCAACTCCGTAAAGAAAGAGTCAGGAAACCTCTGTACAGCAGGATCAGAATGACCAAGCAATCCCTTATAAAAAGAGACTACCAAACTACTCATCTTCTTCACTTGAGTCAATACCTTACCACTATCATCAATAAGCTTTTCAATATTCTGCCTATGAGTACGAGCCTTTACTGATGCATGGAAAAATTTGGTATTCATATCTCCTTGTGACACATATTGTACCCTGGACTTTTAACGATAAAAGCTCTCCTCTGCAACCTGCACCTGCTGGCAAGCAACAACAAGTTTTAATTCATTCTCAATAGCTTCAGCACTAGGAGATGCTAAAACCAATTTCAGAGCTTCTTCCAACTTCATTTCTGCTTCTCTAGTTCTCTCAGATAACTTTAATAACTTGTTTTGTTCAACTTTTTAAGCTTCAGCTTCAACTCTCTTAGCCTACCATACATAATTTGATGTGAAGACCCTTCAACCCCCATTTTCCACACTTCATTTAATAAGTTAGCATATGAGGGATGAGATCTCCAAAATTTAAAGAACTTGAAAGGCTTTGGGAGAGTTGATACCTTTGGTACAGTTTCCATTAGAAGCCCACAGTGCTCAGATACACCTGGAGCTAAAGTTTAGCAACACTATGTGAGAACTTGGTTAACCATTTCCTATTTACGAGAAATCTATCCAACCTTTTAGCAATTGGGTTCCCCTACGGCTTATTCCACCAAGTGTACCAAGAGCCCAGCACCTTGTGGTCAAAAAGTCCCATTCTAGAAATCCAATTTCTAAAATCCAATGTACTTTGAGTAACAACATCTGTATTAGATGCTTCCTGAACCTCAACAATAGCATTGAAGTCCCCCATATAAAGACATGGTCCCCCCACTACCATTTCTAAGTACAACTCTTCGTATAACCTTTTCCTATCAGCAACCTTGTTATGACTGTAGATAGCAGTAACCAAAAATGTAACTTCTCCTGAGACCCGTACTTGTATAAAATGTTCCCTCATACTCACTACAATGACTTGAAGACACAGGTCTCCATAGTAACCAAACCCTCCCAGAAGAAGAGTAAGCATAGTTATCCAGATGAAGCCATTAACTAAATTGTTTATTTAGTATATCAGGGGCATTGACAACAAGCATCCTTGTTTCTTATATAGCTACCATATCTATACAATTACTAGCTAACCGTTTATTTAGATGTCTATGCTTCTTAGGAGTGTTAAAACCCCTGAGATTCCAACTCAATAACTTCATTTACCTTTGCGTTTCCCCTTACCTTTCTTTGGAGGGGATATCTGATCAACCATAGCTTTCCCTCTAGCATTCAAAGGCACTCTAGCCGCTACTACCGATTGAGGAACCCTAAGGCTCCCCCTGCAAAAGACTGATTGTTTTTCCGGACCACAAGCTGAAAACTCTCATCATCCACCACTTCCTTACCCCGGTACCCAACTGTCTGAGGAGGGGTCTGAGCAACAGCAGACTGAGTAACCATTGGAAAGCCATCTCAGTATTCCCTGCACTAGATGAAGCCGGAAATGCTTTATTAGACGAGGACTTATCGGCCTCACTGGTAGCCTCCGCAGGTTTAGGAGCCCATTGCACTTTTAATGTTTCTAAATCAACTTGTCCAGCAACCACCAATTCTCTATCTTGCAAAACGTCCAGAGATCGACATTCATCGCCATGCCCAACCTCATGCCGAAAAATTCCACACTGTGCACATCGATGAGGAACACTCTTGTAGCTCACAAAGATCATCAAAGCTTCCCCTCCTTCTGGCCGAATACGGAAATTCGTCAGGAATTCAGAATCAGCAGACATTTTGATGCAGACTTTAGCAGAACCCATCTGAGCACCCATCTTAGTATCCTGGTCCATCCATAACGGCTTACCCACTCTACTCGCAACCCTGCTAAGACCTTCCACAGTTAGGTATTCAAGAGGTAACCCTCGTAGACTAACCCAAATCTGCAGTACACCCAAATTCAGTTCCATCGGCTGAATTCCCGGAGTCCACTTTCTTACAAATAGCGGGTTACCTTCACAGTGCCATGGCCCGTTCTCAAATACTCAATTAGAGAAATCGCTTTCCGGGAGATGAAACATAAACAAGCTAGCCGCTACTACCGATTGACGAACCCTAAGGCTCCCCCTGCAAAAGACTGATTGTTTTTCCTGACCACAAGCTGAAAACCCTCATCATCCACCACTTCCTTAGCCCGGTCCCCAACTGTCTGAGGACGGGTCTGAGCAACAGCAGACTGAGTAACCATTGGAGAAGCCATCTCAGTATTTCCTGCACTAGATGAAGCCGGAACTGCTTCATTAGACGAGGACTTATCGGCCTCACTGGTAGCCTCCGCAGGTTTAGGAGCCCATTGCACTTGTAATGCTTCTAAATCAACCTGTCCAGCAACCACCAGTTCTCTATCTTGCAAAACGTCCAGAGATCGACATTCATCGCCATGCCCAACATCACGCCGAAAAATTCCACACTGTGCACATCGATGAGGAACACTCTTGTAGCTCACAAAGATCATCAAAGCTTCCCCTCCTTCTGGCCGAATACGAAAATCCGTTGGGAATTCAGAATCAGCAGACATTTTGATGCAAACTTTAGCAGAACCCATCTGAGCACCCATCTTAGTATCCTGGTCCATCCATAACGGCTTACCCAGTCTACTCGCAACCCTGCTAAGACCTTCCACAGTTAGGTATTCAAGAGGCAACCCTCGTAGACTAACCCAAATCTGCAGTACAGCCAAATTCAGTTCCATCGGCTGAATTCCCAGAGTCCACTTTCTTACAAATAGCGGGTTACCTTCACAATGCCATGGCCCGTTCTCAAATACTCAATTACAGAAATCACTTTCCGGGAGATGAAACATAAACAAGCTTTCGCTCTGAGGAGTAACCAAAACCTTACCATCACGACCCAGAATCTCTGAGCCCAGTGACGGATTTTGAATAAACTTAAAGGTTTCGCCAAAAACCTTTCAAAATTATTTTTTCCCGTTGAATTACTTTCTAAACTTTGAACCAAAATTAGGCGACGAAAGATATAAAACTTTTTCCATTATTTAATCGTAGATTTTCAGATTTTGGAAAGTTCTGCCGCATCAATTATTATCGCTAGATTAATTATAAAATAATATATTAGAAATTTGTAATTTTTGCCCGTTGAACATAGCATTATTAGCATGCTGTAATTACATTTAGTTCCCGTTTATACGAGTTTCTAATGCATATTGCTTATGGAATTGTTCTTAATAGTTTGAGTTTGTTTTGAAAAGGTTAATTATTGATTTTATATCACTCTTTTACACGTTCCATTAAACGAAAGATAAGTCATAAGTTTGAACCTTGCACAAGCCCACTATACCTTGTGCTTTAATCAACTGTTAATTTTAGAGATCGTCGGGATTCTAACATATAACTACTTGGCATCATAAATCATTTGTTTGAAATAATCAAATTATTGAGATAAAGTTAATTAACAATAGTATACCAAAATCAACCATAATAAAAACATTATACCAAACTCTTATAAAACCACACCAACCTAATGTTTCACTGGCCTGATCTATATTCTTCTCCATTACAATATAATTTTAAACTATTTCTGTAGCACACCAAAAACCTCTTAAGGCAGATCATAAATCTCTTGAAGCAGATCATAAATCCTAAAAGGCATATACCATAAATATTTTTAAATCATACCAGAAACCTCTTAATGCAGAAGAAAAATACGATAAGGCAAACCATAAACATGAGAGACCAAACTACAAAATACATAACCCAGACCACATATATCTAGTGATGATTGAATGAACTTTGGTGACCAATGACCGTACTCTTGCGTCATGTGACCGAACTCCGGTGTTTGGTGACCAGATTCCGACGGTGGTAAACATATTCTAGCTATGATGACCGAATTCCAGCCACGAGACCATATTCCGGCCACGGTGACTATATCAGGCGATATTTAGTGTAATTTGACGACATTGAGTGTATTTCAATCATGGTGGACGGATTCTAATTAACCACAGTGAACATATTCGGGCCACATTGACCGAATTTCGACTACCAAAAATTGGGCAAATGAATTTTTATTTTATTTAATTTATGCTATCTAAATAGAGTCAACTTAGCTAATAAAAAAGTACTCACAATCCTAATCTCTTTTAATTGGGTACTGATGTTGTTACTGTTACCCGAACAACTTAATAAGTGTTGTGAGTTGTGAACATATTCGGTCGTCAAATTAATTTCCCCAATTTAATTCACTTTCTATTTTCTAACTTCTACTTTTCATATCAAATTAATGCCCCAATTAACTTCCACTAAATTCTCCTTCCCATATACATGGAACAGATCAAATTGCCCAATTTAATTCTATACAGTCTCTTCAATATAAGGAATGTGTAGAATTAGAATGTCTACTTTTTAGTGTAATTATATGTTACTTATAAAATTATTGGTTATGAGGCACCGATTTATTACGGTTTAATATCTAAAAATCCATTAAAGTGTGAATGCTCATAATATCGATTCATACTCTGATTTGATTATGAACACATTGTTAAAAACACTTTTGAAATGAATAATTTTAAGTTTTTAACCTAAGTTTTTAAACATTCAATGACAATTGGTCCGCATAAATGCTAGCACCCCATGCATGTGTTGTGAATCGTTTGCACAACTTACCTAACTGCCCCATTCTAAGCCAAGTATAACTCATAATGACATTGCTAGTATAGTGGCTACAAGGCCGTATTACACAGGTTTTGATACCCTAGGTTACTTCTCACTTCGTTGTCATCTAGTAAACCCGTTTAAGTTTTGGGTTGGAGGTTGATCAAAAGATACTGGTGGGAAAAGGGAAAGATAAAAGCAAGGTACTTCAGGGTACCACCCTCTCCCTAAAGTAGGTCTATCATGTAGATGGCTAACTATGTTGGGTTTCTAGGATAAAATGCGAAACTCTCTAATATGGGGATTTCGATAACTACTCTCCCTCCTCCTAGCACGGCCCGCAAAGGACCAAATGTCTCCTCAGTCTAAGCTTACATGCTAGGGTTTCTCTCATAGATCCTCTCAATAAGTCTAACCTATCATGCATAGTAGAAACATGCTTCGATAAGAACGCGAGCGACTTCTCTAGCATTGTTTTAGAAAGGCATTCCTATAGTAGGGGTTAGGTCACCACGTACACTAAGGAACCCTAAGATCATTCATCTAGTCTTAACCTGCTAGATGGCGCTACCCAGTCTAACCCTAAAACTCCCACCTAGTGTTAACTCGGTTGTAGGCTAGTTGGAAAGAGTTGGGCGACTTACCCAATCATAATTAAGCATCAATGAAGCATAAATTCACTAAAACAAACATATACATTCACAAACCCTAACAGAATTACATCTATATTCAAAACCTAAATCTAGGGGGGGGGGGGGGGGGGTTAACCCCCAGTACCTAAGAGAACTACCCCGTATATGGGGAAGAAGATACATGGAAGAAATAGAAGAAGCCTTGATGTGAGAGAGCTCCCTTCCATCTCCTCTTCCTCCTCCTTCTCATCTTCTCCTTCCTTCAACTTCTTTCTCTTTAAACCAAAATTCTTTTATCAATTTCAGCTCGCCAATTTAGGGGAGGAGCCCTCTAATTATAGATTTCAGGATTCGGGCAAGTTCACGATCATGGGATGGGGGGGGGGGGGGGGGGGGGGAGTTTGCAGCAGTGATATGGGAAGGGAAGGCCGCGATCTTGGGCTTTTTCTTTTTATGCTTTGGAACTTGGGAAGTCTGCGGCCCAAGTTCATGGTCGGCATCCATGAGTCACGGCCGCGATCTTCTTTGAGTGCTCGGATGAAGAAGGTGTGAGTTGACTACCAAGACATTCTGCTCCTTCCTTATTGGCTGCTCCAAAGTTAGATCCTGAGGCCTCCATGTTCGCGGTCATGATTTTCTCCCAAAAGTCGACGATCTTGGTCCTCAGCTTCGCGCCCTCTTTTCTCGTCCGTAATCTTTCATGCTCTGACCGTGATCTCTGGATTTCCATTTCTGTACATTTGTGCACATTTTTTTTTACCTAAATCATTCATATCTTCGAATACATCCTAATATGCTAATATTTTCTCAAAGGAATAAATAAGGTGTATATTTGATGATAGATTAACCATGAAGAATACAAAATGACTAGAAGCAACCCTAAATATGGGCTCTAGATAACACCATTTTGTATGTTATCAACAATTTAACTCATGTTACACAACGCTTAGAAAGAAAGTGGGTATAATAAAAACTCATATAAGACGACAATTTATGTTGTATAAGACAATTTTAAACTAGAAGGTTCACAATATTTTAATATTATTATACTTTAAAAATTGGACCACATCTTCTTTATGGAATGTTTACTTGAAATTGATTGGGCTCTTGGGTGACCTCCCATTCCATCATTACTAATATATCCGACATTTAAGATTTTCTTTCTTTCTTTCTGCCCTTCCCTTCCTTACCTACTTACAGGTCAGCTTTCGGTAAACTGAGGGCGACAGAGAAGGAAACATTTATGGCGGTTGTTAACAAGGTTGCTGCAACAATTGAAGGCTTTGGATTGTCAGATCTCTTCCCTTCCCTCAAATTCATCCCCCTCGTTACTGGCTATCGAGCCAAGCTCATGGCGCTTCATAATAGAGCGGATTCCTTGCTTGAGGAAATCATCCGCCAACATAGAGACAAAGCAAATAGAAAACAAAAACATCATAATGATGATGATGATGATGAAATAGAGGACATTGTCGACATTCTCCTCGGTCTTCAACGTATCGGGGACCTCCCACTTCCCTTAGCAACTGCCGACATCAAAGCCGTCATTCTTGTTAGTATCAACACATTCTTACTTGTTACCTAGTTAGCTACATTGTTACCATTTCTAATTGATACTGTTGTGATCATACCAGGATGTTTTTCTTGCTGGTATGGAAACAACAGCAACCACAATCGAGTGGGCTATGTCTGAGTTGATTCAAAACCCAAATGTTTTACGACTAGCACAAGAAGAAGTTAGGCAAGTCTTTGGTGACAAGAGAAATGTTCGTGAAGACCAGCTCCATGAGTTGACCTACTTAGATGCAGTGATCAAAGAGAGCATGCGAATGCATCCTCCTGCTCCCGTACTGCTTCCAAGAGAAACGAGAGAGGCCGTTGAGATCAATGGTTTTGTTATCCCTGCTAAAACTAGAGTTATAGTCAATGCCTGGGCAATCGGAAGAGATTCTAGTTATTGGATTGATCCTGAAAAGTTTTACCCAGAGAGGTTCTTGAACTCTTCTATTGACTATAAAGGAGCACACTTCGAGTATATACCATTTGGTGCTGGAAGAAGGATTTGCCCTGGAATGTTATTCGGAATGGCTAATCTTCAACTGGGCCTAGCCAATTTGCTCTTGCATTTTGATTGGAAAATTCCCGTTGGACTTCAACACCTAGATTTGATTGAACAGTCAGGACTCTCCATCTCAAGTAAAAAATTATTACGCCTCATCCCTACTGTGGCTGGCAATTGATGGCTAGCGCGATGCCTTAATTAATATATGGTAGTTTGGAAAGGTTATTGTTAAGTCTTAGCCATGTGCATGTTGGAGCTGAAGTGTGTAGTTTTAGTATATTACATTTTTAGTCCTCAAACTCTTTGTTCTATGTCATTTGGGCACTGTCGAATTATGTTGGTCATGTATCTTTGTTTTTAGGGTTGAAGAAGTCAAGGCCATCATTTCTCTGTCGAGTTATTTGATGTTCTTCAGGTTGTTTCCAAGTTTGCAACTAATATTTGGAATAAAATTTTCAGTTTACCTCATAGTTGATTCACCATTGTGGTCTCAGTCTATTAGAGCTTACTTGCATACTGTAAACAAGCAAGAAAGAGTGATGAGTGAAACACATATGCTTTTTGGGTTGGGAAACATGAGAAGTAATATAAGGCATTTGTTGTTCCTGGGTTGAGTGAATGTAATCATGAGTAAGACAAGTGGATTTGTTCAAGTTTGTATTCCCAAGTTTGATGGGGACTATGAACATTGGAGTTTGGCTATGAAAAATCTCCTGAGGTCCAAGGAATATTGGACAATGGTGAGTGATGTTTCTATGAACCAATAGTTGGGGAAGACTTTTCCGGAGCTAAGTTAAAACCTGTGGGGAAAGCGTCTAAAGGACTTCAAGAAAAAGAATTTCCAATTTAGGTCAACTAACATGAATATCCCGAAGACACTTACCAATAAAGGAGTAACCAAGGATATGTGGATCTCCATGAAAACCACGTGTCACGGGAATGCAAGAGTCCATAAATCACACCTAAAAAAAGCACCCGGAGGGTATTTTTGGGGTATTAGAATGAAAAAGGTGAATTTGTGAATGATTTCTTTGATATAGTTACGGTGATTGCAAATGCAATGAGATCTTTTCTCCCGCCACTGATATAACTCTTTCTTTCCAACTTTTCAATTTCTTTCTTATCGGTCCAGTGAATCCCTGGAAAATATCTTTCTTATCGCCCAACCAACATAGCAAGTCCTAGATATTTCTCATGCTTGTCCACCACCACCATACCCAACGTACTGCTGATCATCAATCGTTGGTGGGGCTTGACATTCCCACTGAAAGAAATCTCCGAATTTTGAAAGTTAACCTGCTGTCCTGATTCCCTCTCATAGGCATGTAAAATTTCCTTCAGAGTTTCGGCCTCCTGCGTAGTCGTATGGCCGAAGAAAACACTATCATCAGCAAAGAAAAGATGAGACACCAATGGCGCTCCTTTCGCCAGGTACATGCCATGGAACTTGCAGTCCAAGTTTGTGTACTAAGATAACCCCTCCATGCACAGTAGGAACAAGTAGGGAGATAGTGGATCTCCCTGTTGCAGCCCACGCTCCGGAATAAATCTTTGAGAATGATGCCCATTCACTAGTAAGAATAGGAGACTAATCTCACACACATCATTATCCAACGAATCCACTACTCTGCAAAGCCCATCCGCTACATAGCTCTTTCTACGAACCACCATTGTACCCACACATACGCCTTAGCCATATCGATTTTTGCTGCAAACACACCTCCACGACTATCCTTCCCCTTCTTTTTTCATGGTGTGAAAACATTCAAAGGCATCCATAATGTTGTCTGACATAAACCTCCCTGGTACAAACGCACTTTCCTCATTTTCTATGATCTTATCAAGTACTACTTTCAGCCTATTAGCTAGCACCTTCGCCACCAGTTTATAAAGTACATTGCACAAGCTGATAGGAAATATTCTTTAGGAGACACAAGATTTTCAACCTTCGGGATTAAAACAATGAGAGTATGGTTCAACTGCTCCGGCATTATCCCTTGTTCAAGAATCCTTATTACTGTTTTCACCATTTCATCTCCAATAATACTCCAATACCATTGAAAAAACAGTACCAACATACCATCCACTCTTGGAGCTTTTTGCTTCCCCGTCTGTTTTAAAGCCAACACCACCTCTTCTCGTTTGAACGGTCTAGTGAGGCTGCTATTCTGTTCAGTTGAGATAGATGCCTCAATAGTGTCCAACACCAGATTCGTGGTAGGAACTATTCCTGCATGAAAAATGGTCATAAAATATGAAACCATGCATTGGGAAACCTGGTCAGTCCCCTCATGCCATCCACCTCCTTCATCTTTCAATTTCAGGATCATGTTTCTTTTGTGGCATTCTGATGCTTTTTTGTGAAAGAAGTTAGTATTCATAACACCTTCACGCAGCCAGTCTACTCGGGAACGTTGTTGCCAACATACCTCTTCATTATCACCTCCGACATTTTCTGTGCCCATTTCAGAGCTCACATGGATTTTTTAATTTGCTCTCTTTGCCTCCAGAATTGTGGGAAAGCAGCTCTACTCCACTCCATGAGATCATTCCTACACAACAGAAGCTTTGTTAGAGCATCCCTTGAGTTTCCTCGGTTCCACGCCTCCTTTACTATCTCCGGGCTTTGCTTGTGCTTTACCCATTGAGCTTCAAAACGAAACATCCAGTCCCATTTTGGGTCCTCATCTTCATCTCCGTTTGTATCACAAACTATCGTCCGATGATCCAATTTTGCCTTGTCTAAGGTCAGAACCCTCGCCTTTGGAAACTATAAGTTCCACTCCATAGACGCAATAAAGCGGCTTAGGCGTTCCTCGAAAAAATCACCCACCGTATGGTTGTTCACCCATGTGAATTTGTAGCCTCGAAAACTAAGGTCCAACATGCTTATTTCCATCAATCAATCTTGCAAAGCCGCCATATCTGTTGCATTAGCTACACGTTCTCCTTCCTTCTCCTCAGTTGTGAGGATCTCGCTAAAATATTCTCCACAAAGCCAAGGCACATCCCACAGTTGGGATAGCGACCTTAGTAAGTCCCACATTCTGTATTTTTTGCTATCTTAAGACCATCCATAAACCTCGGTGAAGTGCCAGCATGTAGAGTTACTTTCCGTCACTTTGGCTTCAGTATGTTTCAAAGATCTAGATATAACTTCAACATCGAACTCTTCCCTCCACCACAAGCTCACTCCCCCGGTTTGTCCTCCTACAGATCTATCCGTCGACCAAATTTTACCTTTCTCAAAGCCCACCTCTACTTCTGTAACCTTGTTTTCGTCTTCCGCCTGCTTGGTTTCCATCAAGAAAACCATTTATGGGGAAACTTGTCGCAAGAGCAAACTCATAGCCTTAATTCCCCGCTTTCTCCCCAACCCGCGACAGTTGTAACTCAAGATTCTCATCTATTACCCAAAGGGGATAGGCTCCCCGTGCCTTTTTTTTTTTTTTTGCTCTAGAACCTGTTTCCCCTCTTTTTTGTCATCTGATTGAGGCACCAGCGCCTTGTTGACCTGCTTTGCAGGCATGTCTCTTCCTATTACCATTTTCTTGTTCTCTTTGCCTCGTGCTCCTTGAGTCTTGGGCTTATGATACAGAACAACCACCTTAGCCTTTTTACCTCCCGTACTTGGTACGACTACAAGTTTTTTCTTTGAGTACAGGCTAGCTGTCCTAGCATATTTTGGTTGCCCACGACAGCACTTGGCTTATTAATTGCCTTGGATTGCCCGAACACAAAATTTTGAACTGGGACTTCCACCATGCCTTCCTCCCTCAGTGTTGTTTCCATACTGGTTTTCTCAAGCTCACCCGAGGCAGCAACATCTTGCGCCCCAGTAAGGTTGCTTCCTTTATCACACTTCATTTGTGTTCTGTCAGTGACCATGGTATCCTGCCTTATCTTGTGGTCATTACCCTATGTGGTTGCCGCACAGATCTCCCCCTCTTCTTCGTTCAGAATATGAAAAGGTGACTTGGATCCCCCTCGAGGAGCTTGTTTTGGAACACCCAGTCCCGCGGAGTTTTGTTTAGTGACAGTTGGGGCTTGTTTCTTTGCTTTTTCCCTTTGGTTTGAACATCATCCATTCACCACACAAAAGATTTTTGGTCGGTGGTGGAGTATCAACCCCAGCCATAGATGTAATTCTGTCTCTCGTTGTCTCATCATTACGGGAAACCACACTTTGAGTGACCATATTTCCCGCACTCCGAGCAAATCTGGTGGATCCCCTTATATTAAATGTAGTAAGTAACTCATTCAATCTTGTATTGCGAGAGAAGAACCTTTGTTAAGTCCACCTCAACACAAACACTAGCCAAGTGCCCTCTTTCACCAACTTGGGTGGCTCGGTCCACTCGGATGGGTCGTCCTATCAGACTCGCTATATGCCCAGATGCCTCTTTGTTGATAAATTCCGATGGGAGACCCGCTAGCCTTGCTCACACCATAGTGGTAGCTACCTCCGCCAGCTTAGGGTTAAAGTTCTTTCGCCAAGGCCTTACCGTCAAGTAGTAGTCTCCAATCCTCCATGGCCCTCCTGCGGCCGCTAGCTAATAGTCATATTCACTCAAGAAGCGAACAACATAGTATCCATGCGTGAGGCTTGATATCTGTAAGGTCCCACATTTTCCCCATAGGGCCTCAAGACGACGCGATATAACCGGAAATGGGAACATACTCTCCAAATCCTTGACGATAATTGCAGATCATCATTGTTGTTTTTCCTTTCGCGTTGAAAGGGATGGTAGGGCAATGAGGGTCATCCTCCTCCGGAATCTCGTCATCCAAGTCATCTTCACGCAAGGCTTCTGCTATCGGACTCCGCAACATAACACTCCTTCTTATATTGATATTCAATAAATATCTTCCTCTTCCCACCCTTCCATGCACACTCAGTAGTAGGCGGCGAGTTTTATCTCACATCATGTTGTTTTTCCGTTCCCTCTTCTTCACTAATAATCTCCTCAATGTCAAAAAGGGGGTTGTCACTCATTGGCTTTGCACGCTTTTTTTCTTGTTGATTTTCTCGAGCATCCGCACATGTTGGTGAAGATGTCGCAACTAGGGGTCGACGGGCCCCGACGTTGCTATCTGGCGGTTTCTTATGGGGGGTGTGCCCCCGGCACGGCGGAAGCCATCGCAATGCACAGAGATTCGGCAGTGAAACTATGTCATCACGATCGTTTGGATTAAGAATTTAGTTAATGAGGAATTTTGCCAACAATCACTCATTTAAAAACCTGGTATTTTAAATCCAGAATTTGGGTTAAATATATTGTTTGTTGGGGTATGGAAGATTTAGTACTTAGAGAATTTAATTCTGAAGCAATTGCCTAAATTACAATTATATCCTTTAAAGCCAACATTCGATTCTTCCCTAAATTACAGTTATATCCTTTGAAGCCAACATTCGATTCTTCCATACAAATTAACGTCGACTTCACCAGAATCTTCCCCCTCCG